CAATGTCAGGTTCCCCAACACCCAAAGTCACGTGGTCAAAGAACGGCACTCCCACTACGCAATCCAATAGAGTATCGGTACGTAAAATGATCCTGAGGTAAACATTTCATTTTCTGCGTTTTAGCACGAAACAACCAGCGAACACACAGTATTCCGCATTGAAGCGTCGAATCGCGACGACACTGGAAAGTATACTGTGCACGCTGAAAATGAGTACGGTACTGATCAAGCAGACATAGAAGTAACGGTAGTGGACAAACCTGGAATGCCCAAAGGTCCGCTACAGTACACTGCCACGACCCAAGATTCCGTGTCGTTATCTTGGAACCCGCCCAGTGACGACGGCGGAGGCGATATTACCGGCTACATAGTAGAAGTGAGCGAGTTCGGCTCTGACAGTTGGAGACCAGTCCCTGGTTATTGCCCCAAACCATCATTTACCGTGCGCGGTTTAACAGAAGGCAAAAAGTATGTGTTCAGAGTAAGAGCCGAAAATATCTACGGTGTGTCAGAACCACTCGAAGGCAAACCAGTGGTAGCCAAGAGTCCGTTCGATCCTCCAGACGCGCCAGGACAACCGGAAGTTACAGGTTACACACCTTCCACTTGTTCAATAAAGTGGACTCCACCAGCTCACACCGGCGGCAAACCAATCACTGGTTACAATGTTGAAAAAAGAGAAAGAGGCGGCGAATGGATTAAAGTCAATAATTATCCCACACCTAACACATCGTACACCGTCCAAGATTTACGCGAAGGTAACAAATACGAATTTAGGGTTATCGCGGTGAATGAAGCTGGTCCTGGACAACCTAGCAAGCCATCGGAACCAATTACAGCTGGACATCAAAGATGTAAGCCTGCTCTTCAGGTAAACTAAGGTTACATTTGAGTGTTCACAGTTAAACCCGATGCTCCCGATCCACCAAAACCAGACCGCATTACAAAGGACAGCGTTACGTTATCGTGGAGACCACCGAGAAGCGACGGAGGATCAAAATTGAAGGGATACATATTACAACAAAAAGCCAAAGGAGAACCAGATTGGACAGATGTTAATTCCATCCCAACTCCTGCGAATATTTACACGGCACCAAACTTGAAGGAGGGTCAAGAGTACCAGTTCAGAGTGATTGCTGTTAATGATGTAGGTCCGTCGGAACCGAGCAGGCCAAGTCCAAACATTTTGGTCGAGGAACAGCCTAACAAACCTTGTATTGATTTGGGTGGGGTACGTGATATCGTAGTCAAAGCTGGCGAAGACTTTAGCATCCACGTACCTTACGTTGGATTCCCGAAACCAACGGCCAGTTGGTTTGCAAATGATAAACTTTTGGATGAGTCGGATAGCAGAATTTTCCCTAAGCTTGCCGATGATTCCGCGAGCATTATAGTTAAAAACGCCAAGAGGGGAGATACTGGACAGTACAGACTTCAGTTAAAGAATCCATCCGGTTTCGATACCGCCACCTTAAATGTTAAAGTATTAGATCGTCCAGGCAAACCAGAAAATCTGAGAGCGGATGAGTTTGCCGGTGACGCCCTCACTTTGTACTGGCAGCCGCCTAAGGATAACGGTGGGGCCGAAATTACTAATTACATTGTCGAAAAGAAGGAAGCTAGAACTCCCAATTGGACTAAAGTCAGCAGCTATGTTACAGTGCCGTTTGTCCGAATTAGAAACTTAAACTTGGGACATGATTACGAATTTAGAGTAATTGCGGAAAATCTGTATGGGCAATCTGAGCCGGCGGTTACGACTGAGCCAATACGGGCCAGACATCCATTTGGTAGGTACTTCTGTTTAGTAGTTATGTGTTGCAACAAACCGTTTTTAGATCCACCTGGTGCACCTGGTTCCCCACGAGGTATAGAGACCACCGAAGATTCCATTACAATTCAATGGACGAAACCACGCCACGATGGAGGATCGCCCATTACTGGATATGTAATAGAAAAGCGATTGATATCTGAAGAAAAGTGGACTAAGGCTTCCCATGCCCTTGTACCAGACCTCTCTCATAAGTAAGCAATGTTTGGTGACAAAATAAATACTAAGATCGATTTGTAGGGTTGGTGGCTTAATTGAGAACTACGAGTATGAATTCCGAGTAGCAGCAGTGAATGCCGCTGGGCAGGGACCCTGGAGTGCCTCTTCAGACATGATCGTGTGTAGAGCTCCTCCAAGTGCACCGAAGATAACCTCCGATCTTAGCATACGTGACATTATAGTGGTGGCTGGTGAGGAATTTACCATTTCCGTACCGTACACCGCCACACCAAAACCAAATGCGTCGTGGTCGGTGAACGGAAACGAATTTGTGCCGGATAATCGTATCAAAATTGACACCAACGACATTGCGTCCGTATTCCATAACAAATGCGCTAAACGTTCCGATGCCGGAAATTACACGATCAAGCTAACTAACAGTGTGGGATCTGATTCGGCCACCTGTAGAGTTCAAGTGGTTGACAAGCCACAGCCTCCACAAGGACCATTGGATGTTTCCGACATTACACCCGACAATTGTTCTCTAGCCTGGAGACCACCACTAGATGATGGCGGGTCACCAATTACAAACTATATTGTTGAGAAACTGGAACCAAGCGGAGTAAGGAAATGCCATGCGACCATCAGCTAATGTGATATTAATTGTTTTGTCGTAGATATGGTCAAAGGTCAGCAGTTTCGTTAGAAATACGCATTACGACGTTATGGGATTGGAAAGCAACAAACGGTACAGCTTCAGAGTACGAGCAGAGAATCAATACGGTATCAGCGAACCTTTGGAGACTACCGAACCAATCACCGCTAAATTCCCATTCACGGCTCCCGATCCTCCAGGAGCTCCACGTGTAACGGACTACGACGCGAGCTCCATCACTCTCGCCTGGGACCGTCCACACAACGATGGAGGGTCTCGCATCCAAGGTTACAAACTTGAATACCGCGACGTTGCCGACGACGTCAACTGGCAGAACGCCAGCGACTATTTAATAAAAGACAACAGATTCATACTATACAATATGACCAGTGGTCACGAATATGAGTTCAGAGTTCGGGCGAAGAACGCCGCAGGCTTTAGCAAGCCTTCTGCTTCGTCGACCAAATTCAAACTAAAAGGCAAATTCAATGTTCCTTCGCCACCCAATAACCCGAAAGTTGTTAAAGTGGGCAAGAACTATGTTGATTTAACCTGGGAACCGCCTACCAACGACGGTGGGGCTCGTATTACTGGATACGTTATTGAAAAACGCGAGATCGGAAGCCCAATATGGGCAGTCTGTAACTCCTATAACATCACCGATACGAATTACACCGTAATCAACCTTACCGAACGTTCCGATTTCGAATTCAGGATATTCGCCATCAATTCTGTTGGAAGAAGTGATCCCAGCGCATGTACTTCGCCAGTTAAAGTTTGCGAAGTTGCCGATGGAGAAAAACCGCAATGGATCAAGCAACTTGCCAACCAGTCTGTTCCACTTGGAAAGGCCCACTCACTGGAATGTGCGGCAACTGGAAAACCATCACCAACATTCCGTTGGTTAAAGAACGGGCGTGAACTTACACTAGGTGCGCGCTTCAGATTGGAAACAAAAGGGGGTACTAGCTGGTTGCATATATCGGAAGTGTTGGACATTGACGAAGGAGATTATACTTGCGAGGCTAGTAACTCAGTTGGATCTACTACAACTACCGCACGTCTGAAAATTGGAAGTAAGTATAGCACCGTAGTAAAATTAGTATCTTACAATGGCAATCTTTATTTAGCTCCACCAAGGATTGACCGTATTCCTGGAGATCTTCACTTACCAGAAGGAGATAACACTAAGATTAAAATTTATTACTCTGGTGATCAACCGCTCGATGTCATTCTTACAAAAGACGGTAGATCACTTGATGCATCACCTCACATACGATACACCGTATTCGACGACTACATCATTATCTTCATGAAGGATATCAAACGAGACGATGCCGGAACATATAATCTAACAGTTAAAAATGATAGCGGAAGTGCTTCAGGTAGCTTCAACATGTTCATTACTGGCCTTCCGGGTAAGCCGAACGGACCATTGGAAACCTCCGATATTACTAAACACACCTGCTTACTACGTTGGAAGCCTCCTAGCTACGATGGAGGCTTAAGAGTAACCCACTATGTCGTAGAACGTAAAGACGTTACCCACAACCACTGGATTGTGATTTCGAGCTCATGTAAAGACACCTCCTTTATGGTACAGGGTCTAACGGAAGGCCAAGAGTACCTGTTTAGGGTAATGGCTGTAAACGATAACGGAATGGGACCACCGCTGGAAGGTACCAACCCAATAAAAGCTAAAGCGCCATTTGATCCACCATCCGCACCTGGAATTCCAAAAGTGACTGAAATAGGAGGCGATTTCGTCCACCTAGAATGGACCAAACCAGAATCAGACGGTGGTTCCCGAATCGAAGGCTACTGGATAGAGAAACGAGAGGTAGATAGCTACACCTGGCAACGTGTCAACCCCTCGCTCTGTCCGGCGCCTCAAATTAGTATTCCAAACTTGATCGAAGGCCGCCAGTACGAGTTTAGGGTATTCGCTCAGAATATTGCCGGTATTTCGCCTCCATCGACTGCGTCTACGTCCGTCAAAATAGTGGATCCACTCACAGCAACGCCACCAGAAATAATCAAACCGCTTAAGAACGCGAACTGTATTCAGCACCATAACGCGGAATTCCAATGCACAATTACCGGTGTGCCCAAACCGACAATTACTTGGTACAAGGGAGCTAGAGAAATCGGTAATGGCGCTCGTTATCATATTTATAGCGAAGGTGAAGTACAGCGCCTTGTGATACACGATGTATTCGGCGAAGACGCCGATGAATACGTGTGTAGGGCGGTAAATAAAGGTGGCATCAAATCTACGCGCGCGGAACTTATTATTATGAGTAAGATTGTGTTTTTATAGAAAAATGTTTTGATTTATGGTTTCAGCCGCACCGAAACTGAATATACCACCACGCTTCCGTGACACTGCGTTCTTTGATAAAGGTGAGAATGTTGTTATTAAGATTCCATTCACCGGCAATCCCAAGCCACGAATCTCCTGGGTGAGAGAAGGAGAGACCATCGAGTCTGGAGGACACTATCATGTTGAGGTCAAAGATCGCCACGCCATTCTTACAATTAGAGACGGTAGTCGACTTGACAGTGGTCCATACAGGATTACGGCCGAGAACGATCTGGGTCAAGACTCCGCCATTATTAAAATCCAAATTAGCGGTATGATAACTTGTCCAACTTTAACACTGTCATTGTTTTAAATGTTTTAGACCGACCAGATCCACCTCGATTCCCAACAATCGATAATATTGGAGTTGATTCCTTGTCGGTATCTTGGAAGGCACCAGTGTGGGATGGAGGTAGTAATATTACAAATTACATGGTGGAAAGAAGAGAGCATCCTCTACAAACATGGATAAGAGTCGGTAATACTCGCTTTACCACAATGGCCGTCGAAGGACTGGCGCCGAATCACCAGTATGAGTTTAGAGTGTACGCCGATAACATATACGGACGTTCCGATCCATCTGAAGTAAGCAACATTGTTACAACCAAAGACAGTGGCAAGAAAACGTCCCAAAAGAGACAATACGAAGTTGACGAAAACGGCAAGAAGAAGCGAGAGTCCATGAAAGAGCCCATTAAGGACTATGACCAATATGTGTTCGATGTATACTCAAAATATGTCGCGCAACCGGTTGAAATCAAGACTAGAAGCGTCTACGACGATTATGACATATTGGAAGAGATAGGAACCGGCGCCTTCGGTGTTGTGCACCGTTGTCGCGAGAGGAAGACCGGAAATATCTTCGCCGCTAAGTTTATTCCAGTATCTCACGCAATGGAAAAAGAACTCATTCGGAAGGAGATCGACATAATGAATCACCTACACCATCCCAAACTAATTAATCTTCACGACGCCTTCGAAGATGACGACGAAATGGTCCTAATTTACGAATTGTAAGTGTAATTGTAATTTCTGTCTTTTTAATCTGCTCGTTTAGCTTGTCCGGCGGAGAATTGTTTGAAAGAATAACTGCGGAAGGATACCAAATGTCAGAAGCTGAAGTGATCAATTACATGAGACAAATCTGCGAAGGAATTAAGCATATGCACGAAAGAAACATTATTCATTTAGGTAAAGTGGTGTGTTTTAAAAGGAAGCTACAGTGTTTTTGTTGTAGATATTAAACCTGAGAACATAATGTGCCAGACAAAGAAGAGCACAAATATTAAATTGATCGATTTTGGATTAGCTACCAAATTGGATCCCAACGAGTTAGTCAAAATATCTACTGGAACTGCGGAGTTTGCCGCTCCTGAAATTGTTGAACGTGAACCGGTTGGTTTCTACACCGATATGTGGGCCGTGGGTGTACTAGCGTATGTTTTGTAAGTACCGTGCACGCTATGAATTTATCATCAAGGAGTTTGCCTAGGCTGAGTGGATTATCGCCGTTCGCGGGAGAAAACGATATCGAGACACTGAAGAACGTGAAAGCTTGCGACTGGGACTTTGACGAGGAAGCATTTGGCAATGTTTCTGATGAAGGCAAAGATTTTATCCGCAGATTACTACTTAAGAACAAAGAGTAAGTGGTGTAGGTGAGGCGGATGATTCTTATACCGTTTACATTCAGGAAACGTATGACTGCGGAAGAGTGTCTATTACACGATTGGCTCAGTGGTGATCATAGCAGCAAAACAAAGGTCATCGATCAATCCAGGTATCTTCGAGTTCGCGATAAGATACGTGCTCAGTATAAGGATTGGGATAAATACCTCCTGCCCATTGGTAGAATTTCAGAGTATTCGTCCTTACGCAAACTGCGACTGGAGAAATACAAAATACATGATGCATACTTTGGTGCGTAAGCTATTTTTGTAGCGTGATCAAGAGAGTAGGTGACTTCTTTCAGATCGAAGGCAAGCGGCACCAAGATTTGTAATAAAACCGCAAAATGCCTTCTGTTACGAAGGACAGAGTGTAAAATTGTACTGCAGGGTTATTGGCGTAGCTACGCCCACTGTGACGTGGCTGCGAAATAACCAGGAGCTAAGACAGAGTGTGAAGTTCATGAAACGATACGTCGGAGACAATTATTACTTCATAATCAATAGAGTGAAATTGGAAGACAGAGGCGAATACATCATTAGAGCAGAAAATCATTACGGTGCTCGCGAGGAAGTGGTATTCCTAAACGTTAGACGTAAGTAGAATTGGCGATTTTCATACTTTGAACTTAAGTGGTTTCTTCTTCAGAATTACCCAAAGTTGTTCCCGAATACAAACCTGACACTCAACCAATCCGAAGGAGAGAACCACTGCCATACATGTTCTGGCAAGAAGAACAAGAATGTGCTCCCAGCTTTACGTTCTTGCTTCGCCCGCGTGTTATGCAAGAGCGTGATACGTGCAAACTGTTGTGTTGCTTAAGTGGAAAACCAGTACCCACAGTCAAATGGTACAAGGATAAGCGAGAACTTAGCAAGTACGAATATTCCATGACACATTCTGATGGCGTAGTCACATTGGAAATAGTCGGTTGTAAACCGGAAGATTCTGGAAAATACACCTGCGTGGCTACAAACGTGCATGGACAAGATGAAACTTCTTGCATTGTAATTTGTGAAGGAGAGACAAGCACTGAAGAACAAACTAGACTTGCTGAAAAGATTCTACACTCTGGAGGTATACCAACCTTCCAGTTTTTTTTTAAGTAGGCAACCCTTGTGTTTCAGATCGTAAATACATAGAACATCCAATCAAACCGGCGCCCATACCTATTACTATAAAAAGGCCAATCTACACAAATACTCCAACACACCAAGCTGCAGCTCCCCCTGTAAATATCTCCCATTCCTCCTCAAATCTTAGTGTTAACGACATGGATAAACGAACGCCCAAAAGGTATGGAAGATTAGATTCCACAGGAAGTCCAAACAGATCAAGAAGTACAACTAAAGAACTCGCATGTAAGTAACGCTTTGGCAGACCTAAAATGGTCATAAAAGTGTAACTAAACGTTTCCGTTTTTAGTTCTCTTCCTCACAGGTACTTAAACACACATTATTTCCATTTCACTATTTTGTTCTTCATTACTTACGCAACTTCTTTTATAGTACCTCCAGACGATTCAGCAATGTGTAAGCCAGTGTTTACCAAAGAACTTAAAAACATGACGGTCGGAGACGGAGAATCGCTAACGTTGAGTTGTATCGTAAAAGGAGACCCAGAGCCACAAGTCGTTTGGTCAAAAAATAATAAGGTTGAATTAGGTGAAAGAAATCGAGTCGCTACATCTTTATTTTAGGTTCTGAGTTCCTCCGACATTATGGATTTGAAATATAAAAATGGTATAGCAACTCTTCACATTAATGAGGTATTCCCGGAAGATGAAGGCGATTACGTATGTAAAGCAACGAACTCCATAGGAACAATTGAAACACAGTGTCACCTCACGATTAAACGTAAGTTAAGATACAAATGAGGCCGTCTGTAAACTCTCTTCCAATAGCCATGTCGAGCGTAAATGGGGAAAAGTCAAAGAGTGGCGAAGATAAGGCTCCAGCGATTGTTGATCATCTACAATCTGCCTTGATCAAAGACGGTGATCCCGTAACGCTCTCTTGTCGCATTATTGGCGCAAAGAAATTTGACGTGATCTGGCTGCATAACAATAAGGAAATTAAACCTAGTAAAGACTTCCAGTATACTAACGAAGCTAATATTTATAAATTACATATCGCTGAGATATTCCCAGAGGATTCGGGCGCGTACACATGCGAAGCATTCAACGACATTGGCGAAAGCTTCAGCAGTTGTACATTAAACGTCAACATACCCGGCGAGCCGGTTAAGGCCCCTGTATTCAAAACATTCCCCACCTCCGTCACTGTTGCAGAGGGAGAAGTGGCCTCATTTCAGGCTGAAACCGAAGAAGAGCCGTTACAGATCAATTGGCTGAAGGATGGTAAACCCCTTAAAGAAAGCACAAAATATCGTTTTACGGTAGATGGAAAGCGTTACACCTTACAAATAATGTCGTGCGATTCTAACGACATTGGACAATATCAAGCTAAAGCAATTGGGAAGAAAGGAGAATCGTTTGCTGCTTTCTCTGTGAATGTGGTTCTTGGTGGAGATCTATAGAAACGCTCAATTAGTCAATTCACAAAATCGAACGACTTGCATCAGCAAGAGCTATTTTCTCTGTATATGTTGTGTATAAAAACTATATATTGTAAAAATTTGAGTACTTTCGAGTCTACTATGCTAGAAATCTGCTCAAACCTCGTACCAGCATCCTCAATTACCATCTTATGATGTTTATCAGGTTATAGCATAATAGACTCTTGACTCTACGCTAAACTGCAAATTAGTATCGAATTTTATTTTAATTTTTTTGCTTTAAATCGAATAAATGAAAGCAGTCATTGTAATTGTTTTGAATGAAATGAAAATTTTTGTGTGAAAGCAAATCGAAACGTTTCTCGTTGTGCTATTTTTTCAAGTTACTTTAAATCAACTGTGCATTGCTTATGCAGAACCAAATCCATTATGTTGTACTATATTATTATATAATTTCTGAATTAATGACTTTCATTCCAAGTTTTGAGGCTTTTGCGATACCTACAACTGTTAAAATCAGTTCTTGATTTACACCGATAAGTGCTTATAGAATTGTCATTCCAAATGGTTTGCCGTAGTTATGAGCTATAAGGTCTAAGTATATACCTACTAAGCTGGACTGCTGTTAGTGAAATCAAACTTCCCAATCACTCGCAAGAATATTATGGTACGAATCGTTTTGGAATCTACGCAAGTGTATACACTGGGTTTTTTTTGGGCCGGAAAAAATAATTGTCTGAGAGCGACCGGGAAAAAACATTTTCTTATAGAATTTGGCCTGTCGAATTCATAATTTCAAACAGTTTGAAGAGTGGGCTACTAGATCAAGAAAAAGTACGACTCGTTTTGGATTCTACGCACCAAAATTTATAAGAAAAAGAGTTTTCCCGAGAAATTTTAGAGTTTGAAGATTGGGCTACTAGTTCAAAAGTTACAGCCCTTTGAATTTTTATTCGAAATTGGTTTCTAGTCTATAACCTTTGATTGAGAAATCTGATCGAAAATGTACGAATTGTTTTGGATTCTACGCACCAAAATTAATAAGAAAAAGTGTTTTCCCGAGAAATTTTGGTGCAGTCGATTTTTGGTAAAAAAGGAAGGTTTTACACTGCCTTTTTTTGAGGCCCGAAAAAAAAATTGTCTCAGATCGACCCGGAAAAAAATTTTCTTATAGAACGTGACCTGTAGAATCCATAATTTCAAACAGTTCCAAGATTGGGCTACTAGTTCAAAAGTTACAGCCCTTTGAATTTTTATTCGAAATTGGTTTCTTTTCTAGTCTATAACTTTTGATTGAGAATTCTGATCGAAAAAGTACGAATTGTTTTGGATTCTACGCACCAAAATTAATAAGAAAAAGTGATTTACCGAGAAATTTTGGTGCAGTCGATTTTTGGAAAAAAGGAAGGTTTTACACTGCCTTTTTTTTACCCCGAAAAAAAAATTGTCTCAGATCGACCCGGAAAAAAATTTTTCTTATAGAACGTGGCCTGTAGAATCCATAATTTCAAACAGTTCCAAGATTGGGCTACTAGTTCAAAAGTTACAGCCCTTTGAATTTTTTTTCGAAATTGGTTTCAAGTCTATAACTTTTGATTGAGAAGTCTGATCGAAAAAGTACGAATTGATTTGGATTCTACGCACCCAAATTAATAAGAACAAGTGTTTTCCCGAGAAATTTTGGTGTAGTCGATTTTTGGTAAAAAAGGAAGGTTATACACTGCCTTTTTTTGAGCCCCGAAAAAAAAATTGTCTCAGATCGACCAGGAAAAAAAATTTTCTTATAGAATGTGGCCTGTAGAATCCATAATTTCAAACAGTTCCAAGATTGGGCTACTAGTTCAAAAGTTACAGCCCTTTGAATTTTCTTTCGAAATTGGTTTCTTTCTAGTCTATAACTTTTGATTGAGAAGTCTGATCGAAAAAGTACGAATTGTTTTGGATTCTACGCACCAAAATTAATAAGAAAAAGTGTTTTCCCGAAAAATTTTGGTGCAGTCGATTTTTGGTAAAAAAGGAAGGTTATACACTGCTTTTTTTTGAGGACCGAAGAAAAAATTGTCTCAGATCGACCCGGAAAAAAAATTTTCTTATAGAATGTGGCCTGTAGAATCCATAATTTCAAACAGTTTCAAGATTGGGCTACTAGTTCAAAAGTTATAGCCCTTTGAATTTTCTTTCGAAATTGGTTTCTAGTCTATAACTTTTGATTGAGAAGTCTGATCGAAAAAGTACGAATTATTTTGGATTCTACGCACCAAAATTAATAAGAAAAAGTGTTTTCCCGAGAAATTTTGGTGTAGTCGATTTTTGGTAAAAAAGGAAGGTTATACACTGCCTTTTTTTGGGCCCCCGAAAAAAAAATTGTCTCAGATCGACCCGGAAAAAAATTTTTCTTATAGAATGTGGCCTGTAGAATCCATAATTTCAAACAGTTCCAAGATTGGGGCTACTAGTTCAAAAGTTACAGCCCTTTGAATTTTCTTTCGAAATTGGTTTCTAGTCTATAACTTTTGATTGAGAAGTCTGATCGAAAAAGTACGAATTGTTTTGGATTCTACACACCAAAATTAATAAGAAAAAGTGTTTTCCCGAGAAATTTTCGTGCAGTCGATTTTTGGTAAAAAACGAAGGTTACACACTGCCTTTTTTTGAGGCCCGAAAAAAAATTCTCAGATCGACCCGGTAAAAAACAAAGTGTATAATCGAAAAAGTACGAACAAGTTTAAAAACTGAAATATTCACATATTAACGTTTATTTCATACATCTTCAGTTATGTAAAAACAAAACAGTAATATCTTGTAATAATAGAATCCTTCAAATACCCAGTTCCACATTTAGTACAAAATTACACTTTTACACTTTCATTAACAAAAGTAAAATACATGTATCAGAAAATATGTCACTTTATAAAAAAAACTAATGGTACAGTTACATTGTTATACACTATTTTTTAATTTTCATCTAAATCTACAGTTTAGTGATCTTGCAACCCAAAAAAACTTGAGAATGTTTAGAACAATATCGTGAGCAATTAAAAAATATTTTCTACAACCAAAATTCAAACAACAAAAACACAAAATACTAAAATCTGTTCCGTTAATACAAACAATACTTTCAAACGTGCAATATATACAAATATAATGATTTGGCACAGATTGTAAAATACCTAATGCTTTTTTAATCCTAGTTTGGTCCTATATGAACAAACAAGTGTAACACACTCACATGATACGCTTATGAAACGAACACCTAACAATCAGTACATTACACAAAGTATCTATCACATGGTACTAAGTAATCAAACATAAAACCACCCACCGCTTTTCGATTTAAACATAAATATACATCTCCAACGTGCAACTGAAAGAAAATACTCAATTTAAATAAACTCGGTGCGTGACGGAATCTGAAAAAAATCAAAATAGAAAATTAAGTCGGCCACATTACAATGGAGATTAATGCTAAATGTTTACTTACATAACATTAAGACATTGTAGACAGTAAGGAATATTGGAAAGTGGCGCAAAAGATTCCGATTTCATTGAAAATCATGCTACATAAATGGAAAAGAGCAACATAAATCAGTTAATCCTTAATTAATCTGGACAGATTACAAAAGAAGACATCAACCTAAAAATAGCCATCTTCGTTTTTGGAATGCAATAAAATACATTTGTTTACACATTTTACTTTAATTAAACATAACTGACAGAGAATTTAATTTTTTGTTCGTAATAGTAAATTAGAAAATTTAAAACAGGGCGAAAACGAATTACATTCTAATCTTACAGCACTTGCTCTGTTTGCGGTATTCATTGACGTACAAAAATTAAAAATTAACACAGTACCATCTTGATACTTCGACATGCAACTGCCGGATTGTCAAAGAATTCAGATTATCGAGAGTAATAGAAAAAAAGACCAATTTTACTATGTATGTTACAGTCATTAACAAAAGTAATGATCCTGTACCATATGCAACCAACATTTGAATACAGTGTGCAACATGGAAATGGAACCAACAAATTAAGGCATCTCCTCCTTGAAGAAACCGACGGAGCGTGATGTGATAGGCATGTTAGTTGCTTATGCAATCATCATCACCGTACATACAATGAAAATGCTTAATACAAAGAAACACTAAAATACATCAATACGTCATTTTACAAACTAGAAAAAATAATCATTAATTTTTTTGTTTTCGTTACTGTATACATTTTGTCAAAAATGGCATCTTGTAGTCGTCCCATGGACGCAAGACGGATTATCAAGACTGTACTGTACTGTTCCTATTCTTGAAATGAAAATTTAAAAGCGAGAACTTCGTTCAAAAATGTGTTTTTCATCCAATATTTTAGGGCACTACTTCTGTCAAAAAGTGCTCAAATAGAAGCGTGTTTAAAATAAAAGGAAGGGGATGAAACTCAACCAATGCCTGCATGGAGAGTCCTCCAAATAAAATTCTTAAGTTAAAAATTGCACTTTTTTAAATTTCCTTTGAATATCACAGTTTCTTCAAAAACGTGTGGTTGCCACAATCAGATCTAACATGGCACACGATCGAGAATTTTAAATGCGTCAACTTTTAAGTTGTAGTCTTCTTCAAGCACTAATTGATATTCCACATAAGAAATTAAGAAACGAAACTTATTAACGTAGTTTTAGTAATAACTGAAAGCAATAAAAGTAAAAATACAGGAATGTATATTAAAACAAACGTTTTTCGTAAGAAAATAAACCATGAACGTTCCCTTCCAATTGGGCCGAATACGATCTTCTCTCAAATTTTAATTGTCCACTATAAGTCATGTCCCTAGAAAAACTCGTAAGAAAGAAACTAAGCGAAAGTAGAATATACCTCAACATTGATAAAGATCGTGCCCCAATATCTTGACATCCGTGCTTCAATCCACTTTGGAGGTACGGTACAAACCTTAGAATCGAACCTTTATCGACGATGGAGCCACTTACACCTTGGGCAACTTTCAACTTATCCCTTTGACTAGAAATATGTTATTAAATAAATTGCGAATTAACCATCGTTATTACTTGTGAAAGTATCGGTTCATGGCTGAACCTTGAGCATCTTTTCTATCCATCGCTTCTAAGCTTCCCATCCCTCTGTACTTCTTTAACCGAACACCTTCGGCAAAGAAATATTCTCCCGGTGCCTCAGAAGTGCCAGCTACTAACGAACCCATCATCACTAAAACCGACAACTGTTAAAAATAGATCCCAATTGGTACAAGCATATACCGGTCGAGGCGCCGAGCGACAATGCTTTTATTATGTGACCCACCGACTGTATGCCACCGTCCGCGATTACAGGGACACCAAACCTCCGAGCGTACGCCGCAACCTTGTAAACCGCTGTCGCCTGTGGTCGGCCGACCGCCATCACCTCCTGCGTTATGCAAATACTACCACTTCCCATTCCAACACGTAACGCGTCCACTCCGGCGTATATTAAATTTTTCGCTTGTTGAATCGTTACAACTAAAAAATTATGAATGTGACTAAATAAAATTAGTAGCAAAAGCCAACTAGTTCAATATGATACCTATAGTACTGTAACAACCCAACAACCATTAGATTCGTTAAAAACACTCAAAGTTCATAATACAAACAGTACCACAAGAGTAGCTCTAGGGTCTTCACTGGTTACAAAACAGGTTGCTGAAAACCTTCCAAGCTAGATACTCGCTTTCTTATTTCTTTTCTAATTACAGTATAATCACTCTCAGTTTGTACAACAACATCGTAGAATTCTATTTCGCTCAATCATAATTTTAGATGGATATTTAAAATATGTGGTCACTATCTTCACGGAAATGAAGGCTGTTATGCAACGGACATTCACACCATGGTCTCACAACGAAGAGTACTAGTTGGAATTACGTTAGAGCTCAGGCGCCCCCCATTTTGGCTAGAGGACATGACCTGTCGCATTATCATATAGAGTTGTCTACTTCGCCTGAGCTTACCTAGACAATTGTAATTGCATGTAACAAGATAGAACATTACTGAAAATAAGAGACTTGCTCTTCGCAGTCTGAAATATTCGTTTATAAAGACAATGATATAAAGTATGGCACAATACATCAGAATGGCCAGGAAAAAATTGGTAAGTATAAATTTATTGATCATGAGAAAGTGTGACTATACTATCAATTGAAAATTAGGTTCTATACATTTTGACAGATAAAGTATCTGTCAGTGTTCTTTATCTTTGTTTCATTCAGCTGATAATCGATCATCACTGATTACACCACTACCCATTTCTCGTTATATGCAAATAAATCCAATCGTGCAACATTTAAGCAACAACAATTCAAATACATACCATTTCCACCAATCACTTGTAAATTGGGATATGTCTTCTTAATGTATTTAATCATATTTATCTGATATATAGAATTACCCTGTGAGGAATCCTACAAATGATTTCCATTAAGATAAAGGGTAAGGAATAAGACAGATAATTACTAAAATAACAACGTCGACACCGGCTTGAGCTAGTAAGTGCAATCTGATTTTATCCTCTTCTCTGGTACCTATCGCTCCACCGACGATTAATTGTTTATTTTCGTCTTTCGACGCGATAGGGTAATTCCGAGCTTTCTTCAAGTCAGTACGTGCAATTAAAGCTATCAAATGTCCTTGAGAATTTACAATCGGTAATTTTCCTTTTTTGCTTTTTTCCAAAATAGAATTCGCCTCTGTAAGCGTTACTCCGGATTGTGCCGTTATGAGTTTGTCAAAGGGAGTCATAACCTAACAAGCTATTTAAACGACAAGCTTGAAACGCAGCGCCAACTTACTGTTCCTAATTTTATATTTGCTTTATCGTTATCTTCTAAGAAGTCAATATCACGTGACGTTACAATTCCCACTAACTTTCCACCTAACTTTCCATTTTCTGTAATAGGTGTACCGCAGAAACCGTGCGTCTTTTTAACATGCAAAATGTCCCCCACCGTGTTGTCGGGCGACAACACAATCGGATCCCGTATAAAACCGTGTTTGTATTTCTTGACTTTCAATATCTCGTTCGCCTGAAAATCCGGAGTGCAATTGTGATGAATAATACCGATACCTCCACAAAGCTGTAAAAAAAACAATGTTATATTGTGTATTACTATTATTACCACCTACAGCCATGGCGATTGCCATATCCGCTTCGGTAACTGTATCCATAGGTGACGATACTAGTGGCGCTTTTAATATTAGTTTTTTTGTTAAGTGTGACGATAAATCCTGAAAAACAGTTTATAGGACCGAGGTTCCACTGCCATACTAAGTTATACTCACAACTTCCTCTGCTAGGAAATCAATGTAACCGGGAAGCAAGATGAAGTCACTGAAAAGAAAATAGATGCAATGCTATAATCGAATACAAGTAATTTTAAACATAGCTAATTTAAGTCAATCCTTGAAATCAAGATAAAGCGTTTTGTTTTCTCAACAAAATTAGTGCAATAACGATTTCGACTCGTGATCATTGAAAATACGTTTTACCAAAGAAAACAGTACATAAATAACAATTTGCCAAAATGCAAGTGCGCGAGAAATTTACTTATTGGGCATCGAGTTAATGCGTTTAGACAGTAAATCACAGGACACATGCCAGCTCCTGGTTGCCCTAAGGAGCGAACAATTGTTTGCATATTTTATAGTCGATGTCTAACGGGATTTATGGAATATTCGCCACAATACACTGGGTGTCGCATTTAAAAAATACTATAGATCAAATCCGAGGTCAAATCTCAGAAAAAGGTGGTCCAAAAATTTTTGCCGCACTTTTGAAAAAAAATAAGCAATAATATTCGTTATTGCTGGCCGGCTGTCCGACTGAGATCTCAGCAATTACAATAGCTATAGAGACTTCAAATTTTCACTAAAAGCGTTCTGCTATAGTGTAGATGTACAGGCTCTAGTGTATTTTGAGTTAGATTACTTATGAGATAGATAATTTTAAACTTTGCTAATAAAATAGTGATCGGTATTACAAAAAAATGCGCTTTCATCATGCATATGCTGATTTACAACTTGTTTTGATTAGTTTGTGACACAGCGCCACCTGTTACCACTATGACAAACAAATGTTTCAAACAAATTCTTCATACTTATGGAATAGAAAATTTGGTTTCCCCCTCTACCGCCCCAAAAGTGGTGATAAAGGGGATCCAATTTTTGGGTCATTCGATATAGAACAACAATATTAGTAAGATCCCTGGGCTATTTGTTATAAAACGGGTGGACGGTTGGTCTGGACCACTCTATATAACAGGAAAACAATAAGAAACATATGCAAATAAATGCAGAGCCGGCCCGTGTAGCGCAGTTCAGTGGAAGCTCGACTGCGGTACAGGGTCCCTGGTTCGAATCAGGGTTCGGGCATGGATATTTGTAAATGTATAGTGGGTTGGATTGGTAGAGCAGCCTCGGCTGAAACCCCGCCCACTTAAAAATAAAGGCAAAATAAAAAAATAAAAAAAATAAATAATAATAAAAATAAGTAACAATAACAGTTTATTAATAAAATATGAGAATGCGTCTGTAAGAGCACCATAGATTAATATTGGATTTGGCTTCATTTGCAAAAATTGGTCTGTGGTTTACTACAATGTACTTAATTAACTGTGGTTTCCTAATCGCGTATGTAATCACTATCAGTCGAAATCGCTATAAAGTTGTACAATTAAATTCCCAAAATATTACTGTTTATCAACATTTTTTAATATAATTTGATAATTACATAGCTACTTCCTTGAACCGTAATTAAGATAATGCAAATTTATATGACAGAGAATTGAAATAATTCCCTTTTCACATGAATCATCTAACATTTTTCCTTATACAAAACCCGGCCTAGTCCAATGGTGCCCTTCTACACCAACAGTCTCGTGAAACTTTGACATATGCCTGGATTAAAATATTAGCGATGATGCACTGAACAGTGTAGATTGCAACACCTGCCATTACCCTATACCAAATATGAAGATTGTGCAGCGGGCAGAAGTATGGCATATTTAATTCAAGTGTCGTAGGAACTTCATGTTCCACATTGGGTCTACTTGATGTAGGAACACCCTGTAGTACAGGAAAAAAAAATCTGTATATGGGGATTTTACAAATCAAACTGAAGAAACAAGAGAAAATTGGGGCAATACAAAAATCAATAATAAAGAAAAATTACAAAAAAAAGATTTGTTTATGCTCTTCCACTGAACCAGGCAGGACTCAATCATTTCTCGCCCATATTCAAGTGACCTACATAGAAATTAAACCATTTTATACCGCGTATAGCAGGGATTCAAACTTTAATCATAGAATATACCTTAATTCCCTAATTTGATAAACGGTATCACTTAAACAGGATGCGGGACTACAATCATAGGTGTAGCTGTAGGTATCTGAAGGACGAAATGTGCAGATTAAAATAGGTCAAGATATATTTTGGACAGCTGGAAACCGAAAATCTACTGCTACTAGTGCAATGTGTACAATTTACTGCAAAATAAAAATATGTCAATAAAAACTTTTTGAAAGGTGTCCCACAATTCGTCTTTTGTACATACAGAATCCCATACGAGGTCCAGCAAGTGGGAGAAACCAGAAAGAGTGAATACATTTAAAGTGATCAACAGCTTGTGCAACAAGTACCTACATGTTTATTCGATAGCAGCAATAGAAGTAAAAGCTGCACCTTTCTATGCGCTTACAATGTGCAATACATATAAGTAGTCACTCAAGGTCTAAATAAAGGTGTTAATTTACTTCATGCAAATCATATTGCTTGGCAGATACCTGACTAGCACCATAATTTTGTTTTCGTCAAACATTTTTTGGCATATTTCCTACTGCATGATGGTAAGTGAAAAAGTTGATTGAACCTAAAGAAAACACATTTCATTGCCAGCCGTAATTTCACATTTTAAAAATGTGTTTGCGAATTAATTGATACGGAAACCGTATAATTGCACTTATATTACATCGCAATCTATTTAAAGACAGTATAATTTTATGGTTTCTTTGTAACTAGGACTTACTCGTATGTTAAACCGTTTCCATCCGAAATCATCTCTTTAGCACTAAGCCCATCTTCTGGGGTATCGTCATTTCCATTTTCCATTATATTTGGTTTAATATCTGCCATAACAGTGGATGTATTACTAAAACAAACAAATATATTTGCATTAACAGTTTTTCGAGCAAAATGTGAACAAAAACAGCAGCGCACGTGTTTTTGGAAAAGTACAATTAAAAAAGGTTAGGTTTTATTTTAAAAAATCAATAGATACGTACCTGACAAACAAGATTATAAAATGTTTAATTAGTGCTTAATTGTAAAACAAAGGCGGTAATTGGAATATTTGAAATAAAATTTAATGAGAAGTCAGCACAACCACGTTTCGTGCACTACCGCTGCTAGCTAAAGCCAACTATACGACACTTCAGTTGGTAATAAAGCTCCTCGCACACCAATGACAAAGCAACCAATGACGTCACACAATTCTTCTAACTACAACTAATTTAGTTGCGACTTTTTGAGTCTGAAGCAATAATTAAAAGGAAAGACCCAATATTAATGTCGCGCTTATAACTAAATTCGAATAGATATTTGAGTTTGCGCAAATTCGACAAAACATAGATTTCCCTCTCTTCGCTCGCCTCTAATTTCGTCTATAAAAGGAAGCAATTTCGAAATCAGAAGCAGATTAAAGGGCCAAGGCAATGATAATTTTTATACCCCTCCTCCTCCACAACCTTACGTACTTTACTTATAATTTTGTATGGCCGCATGCCCGTCCGTCTGCACGATAATTTTGTTTAGAAACGTCCGATCGCTTTGAAAAGTCGCTATTGTTGTTTACCTATAGGTACCTTAGTGGTAAAAATGATGGTTTTACTAATTTATTAATGGTAAAAGTACCTATACCTACTACAATTACAAATTAATCTGCATCACAGTAGGGCGGCATCTGCCACCCGTTATGTGCGTACATGGGCAAACATCATATTGATACCTACCGAAAGTAGGAGGGCCAACGTATGTGGAAAAAAAGTGATTGCACTGGCTGCACAGTCGGTCTTCATATGCATAGGAGACCCAATCTTATGTGGAGGCGATGAGGATCAACAAATATACAGACAGATGATAGAGGACACGCAAAAACATACGAAAATAAAACTCACAGGGGCGTACAGAACGGTGTCAGTTGGTGCAGAATAAAACAGGGCATACAAATTATTTTGGTAGTCAATTTTTGAGTGGTCATGATCATGGTTGCTTCATGGTGAATAAAGGCAAGGGACAACCCAAAATGCTTGTATTGCAGCGTATGACGACGTAGAACATACTTAATATAAGTGAACCAGATAGCAAGAATAAGTCATGGGGAAAATAGGGGAGAGCACACCCAGACAACGTAATGGAGTTCGCCCTCAAAAATAGCTCGACATGGAAAATACTAGTACAGTTTATGTAGAAGGAGTAATAAAAGAGAAAGAACTGGACGAACGAAAATTAGGAGGATGATACATAATATACTGCCTTTACTGGCAGAAGGAAGTGGAAAACAATTGCTACCAGTAAACATGCTAAGCCAAGGAGTGGTTTTGGTGGGTGTTCCAACCTGGACCAGAAGGAAAATCCCACACTACCATGCGCCAATAGATCTCTAAGGCGCTTTGTGTCTATATATAAAAACATAATACGCCTACACACAAAAAAAAGCCTTAGGTTTGGAACCCTACGTGGGGCACAAGCAAGTCTAGCTGGAGGAGTGATAAGAAGCCAGCTCAGAAAAGAGTAGAAACGTTTAAGGGAATCTGCTCATGGACTATCTAAAAAATTAATCAGTTCTCAGAAGACTGAAACCAGCTCGTTGTTAGCCATGGCGAGTAGAAGTGCACTAAGGTCTGAGTACATTAGGTCTGGTCTCTAAAATATCATCTCAATAAAACAGGGGTAGCACATATCTGCTTCAAGCAGGCTGCAACACACCACCTCAGCCCTCAGATTTTTTAACAAACTGCCCCTCTTAGAGCACACAAAATTGATCTAAGAGTCAACGTATGAAGAGGGAATAAGTTATTATAGATAAGACAAAATTGCTAAATCTGTTTGTATATCCACAAATGCAATTTACGCAATCGAAGCATAACCATTTTTATTTGAAATTTTAATTATCAATCTACATATTTTCTATTTCACGTAGGTAATCGTACAAGAATAGTTTCCATATTACATTTTAAATATGTTTTTACATACATTTTAGCCATCCCAAAAGTCTGGGGGTGGGCTTGAACTGCCAAGATGATGAAATGAGGGAGTAACCTGTGAAAAACATTTATAGGCGGCTTTTTTTACTGTATTTTTTACCTAAAACACCACTCAATGTTTTAAACAGTCTGCCATCCCATGCCTGGATCTAAAATCGGCTGAAAGACTATCCGGAACCGTAATTAGAACTAAAACTATGCTGAAACGAATACAACGTATTTGACTGCAATCCCAATATCTGATTTTACATTCGATTCCCCTTCTTTACTCTAACTTTTCCTTTATATATACTTTCTCATCCCGGCCTTCCGATCGGCAGGTCCAAGACAATAATTTTTCCCAACTACAACGATATCGACAGGTCAATTTCAATCCCAATTCCATAATTTAAACGTTTAAAGGGAATATAAATAATATTGATCGGTAATTAAAATTTCAAATAAAAATGCTTATGCTGCGATTGCATAAATTGCATTCCTGCATATGCAATTTTATCTTATCCATAACTTTTTTCCTCCTTGGGTTCGGCTGTTTTACCTTTTTGCACATTGACCCTTGAATCAATGGCTGCAACTCGATGGTTTGCTGAGGTGCTATTGCAGCCATAAACCCAGGTCTTGTGTTCTCTGTTCGAAGACAGCCTCACACTAGCCGCTGTCTTCCCCCTTGAAGCAGATCTGCAGATGCGACGTGTTATCCTGAGCTACTCCGATTTTATTGAGATGATATCTTAGGGAGCAGTGACTAGGCCTATGTATGCAGACCTTGGTTCACTTCTACTCACTGCTATAGCAATGAGCTGGTTTCAGTCTTCTGAAGTGTCTTAGATTGTCTTAATCCATGGGCAGATTCCCATAGACGTTTCCACCCTTTTCTGAGCTGGCTTCTTACCACTCCTCCAGCTAGACTTGCTGGTGCTCCACAGTAGGGTTCGGGACTGAAGGCTTTTTTGTGTGTGTATAGGAGTGGAAGAGCGCCTTTTAGATCTATCTGGGATTCTGCTTCCGATCCAGGTTGGCATACCCACCAAAACTACACCTTGGCTTAGCATGTTACTGGCAGGAATTTTATTTTCATTTATTTTGTATCATCTCCCTAATTTTATTTCGTCCAGTTCTTATTATTCCTTAAACTGTACTAGTATTTTCCATGTCTAGCTATTTTTGAGCGCTTCCACCACCACAGTCACCAGGTCCTGTTGTTATGAACTCTGAAAGAGGAAAAGCTTCGGCTTTAAGAGAAACGCGGCCCTGGGTCAATTGTTGCCTGTTTCATAATTCCCTGCAGAATTAGCGGATAACCCTAGGCTTATTTTGGAGAACTGCAGCAAAAGCGGATCGCTTACATTTCTTTTCACTTGATTCAGCTCCGAAAAAATCAATTGGATAGAGGAAAGGCGGTCACCCTTGGTGCTGGAAGGATATACTGTGGTGCTGGCACAGGCTTATGGCCTGCACCTTCGAGGAGGGGGGGGGAAGAAGCTGTCCGCTGAGAATGTTAGAATACTTAATTAACTTTCAAAAACGCCAACCAAGTCCGCTAAAGCATTTTTAGAAAGGTAAAGAGGTGCCCCCAGGCCCCTCTCCTTGGTACACCACTGTATGGTTACAGAAATCTTCAGATCGCTAAGTGGATGATAGTGCGACGAGATGTCGCCGTTCAATATTGCTAAAGCGTTTTTAGCTACCTGACAAATGAAGTTAATTGACTGCTTAAATGTTTGTGTCGTATCTATTTGTAATTAACCTTGTGCGTGACTTCAAATCGTGGTAGTATCGCTTTAATTTAATAGTAGAGAAACTTAACTGAACGGTGTATAAAATGCAACAAACGCTTCGCCTCAAACATAACTTAAATAACCATGGATAATTAAGTCTGTTGTTACCAAAATGGTGGGTGTCTTTTATTTGGTAATAATCATTCATTATTTGTGTAGTTCGATAAATTGTGCCAAAGATTGTCCGAAAACTTGTACGTGCTTAGGTGATATTGTTAGTTGTTCCCAGAAAAATTTAAAGACAATACCGTTAGATATACCAAAATGGACATCACAACTGTAAGTATGTTTTTATTTACAAGTGCACCTGTTTGTTTTTTTTGCACTTTTTTCGTTGTAATTATTATTTGTTTGTCTCAAAAACATTAGCCGCAATTGTCTAAAGCGAAATTAAACATTTTTACAGAAATTTAAACAACAACAGAGTTCAAGCATTCAACAGTGAGACATTCAGGAACCTTTCGCAGCTAACAGAATTAAAGCTAAACAAGAATAAAATTCGTGTGATACCAAAAGATGCCTTTAATAATTTGAAACGGTTGAAAATCCTGTAAGTATTTACTCAATTTTAATCTCGTGTTATATTAAGTTAATTGTACAATTTACAAACTCCAATCTAATAAAACATAATGTTTTATGGTACTGTTTTCGCTCCATTAATTATGCTGTTATCATTATTTATTACATAGGAATTTGCATTACGAGAGATTATATCGCTCACTTAAAATTTTATTATGTGAGATTCACAAAGCAGAACTGTTCATAATCTTAACTATTTTTATAGATCGATAAAGGGAACCACTTTGTATTGTCTGCCCCTTAACGTAATTTGGTATTTCATTGTGAGGAATTTGTCACTGTTTATCACTTGACATTGGTGCACCCCTGTTTTGAAAACATCATTTTGTAAAAACCGGACAAGAGTCTTAGATATAAATAATTCTAGTTGCATCAATTATTTTTCTTCTATGGCTATTTTTGTCTAAAGATACAATCAATTAAGTGTATCCTTCTGTGGAGTGCCCCAAGGTTTCAACCTTGGACCTCTACCGTTTTTGTTGTTTATTGATTATATTGCATGTGCTTTGAATTGTAATGTTATTTTATTTGCAGATAATTTGAAATGTATATGTCAGTCAAGTCTGATAGCGATTGTTTTTGCAACAGTAGTTAAGGGAATTGAACAATTGGCGTGACGCAAATGGCTTATCATTAAGTATACATAAATGTGATGTTGTGTCATAATACACTTGCGTATGTTTGGGTAACAATGCTCTTTTGACTCATACGGATGATGAAGATCTTTGATTTCCATAAAGTACTAATAGTCCACTTACTTTACCAATTTTCAGTATCGCCAGTAATACTGAAGAATATACAATTGTTCGAAGATTTCTTTGAAATTTCAACCTGGTCTCTCGTAAACATTTTTTTCTGGCCGGGGACAATGGAAACAGGTTTTGGTGCATTGAGGTACATTGAAGAAGGAACATCAGGTTGATAGATTCATTTGAACAATTTCTGGTGCTTTTATGAAGTTGGCCAAGTTTCTTTGAAGGGTAAACCAAGATGATTGACTATAAAAATGGCGCTGTGTATGACTTTTTACTCAATAATTCTATTATTTTACCAATTTTCAGTATTGCAATTGAATGAAGAATATACAATTGTTCGAAGATTTCTTCACAATTTTAATCTTGTGAACATTTTTTTCTGAACCGGATTTCCCGGCAACGACCGGGCCAGTGTTATTGAGGTACTTTGAATTTTTAAAAAGGCACATGTTCATAGATTTAGTAGGAAACTGGTGCTCTTGTGAAGTTGGTCGTGATCTTTTGCAACCGGGTTTTTTTAAACGGTAAACCAAGATGAACTATGAAAATTGGCGCAGCCGTATTATCCCAGGACGTATTTCCAAAAGGGATCTTTACCCAATAGTTCATTTATTCTGCGAATTTTCAGTATTGCCTGTATTGAATCATCGTTCGAAGTTTTAACCGGATCTCTTGAACATCTTTTTCGGATTTTCCGACAACATTCGGGGCACAACGGATACAAGTACATTGAATTCTGAAGAATACACAACCGTTGGATGGTTAACTGACTTTTGTAAAAAATTGTTTGGTAGCAGATATTCCGGTAAAGGCAGGGGTGCGATTACCTTTGGTTCAGAGCTGAGTAAATAATTCTGAAAATTGTCTAAGTACTGTTAAACAGATGGGAAAATAAAAATAATTAAATATGTTTCTTTTTTATCTTTCAACACGTACAGATAAGTACTCAAAAAAATAGTATGTTGTAAAATAAAAACTTGTTGCTTTACAAATGTAAAGATGGCATTTTTTATCGAAGTTATGCTTACTGAGTTTTGATCCCGGCGCCATGGAGAGGTGATCTAGACCTACCACAACCCCTTTGTGTCAACTCTCGACATATAGAAGATTGAAGTTTTGATTCCAGCGCCATTTTCATATTTAATTCTGTTTCAACTAACCGACGCAATAAAAGGCATCTATGGGGTAATGTTTTTTCAGAGAATGTAATGCTGCATCTGTTTGGTGAAGAAAAAAAGACTGATTTGAGGAAAATTTGTTCTTAAACTTATATTCGGATTTTCCGCTACTGCAGCCAAAACGTTGAATGTATTGTCGTTTTCCTGATGGTTTAGACGGACATTTTGAACGTTATTGCAATTGTAGTTATTTCACTAATTTGTGAACAAGTATAAATTATTAAATTTAATAAACGTCAAAGGCAAATAATGAAACGTGATCGCTGTTTTTTTAGGTAATTCAAGGCATATCTGATTTATTGTAAAATGAACCTTTTTATTTTGTCGATTTCTACGATTTTGAAAAACGGAAAATTATAACTAATAGTATGAACAGGTGCAGTATTTTTTTCTCTAAAAGAAACGTATTTAGACTTTTCTCTAAAATAATTAGGGGAGCTAGTAATTGGCTATAAAGAAATTACCATTGAAATCCCTATGCTGCGTCGGGCTAGGCACCACCCGGTATAGTGTACTACAACCTCTTTGTTAATACCTCCTTCACGAGGTATGAGTAATTTTAGTTTTGATCCCGGCGTCCTGTAGAACTGCTCTGAGTCTATTACTCTTTTGTTAGACCTCCTCGAAATATAGATCATTGAAGTTTTGATTCCTGCGCCATGTAGAGCTAATCTAGACTTATACAACCCTTTCTGAGTACCATTATTCTTGAGATATAGCGTTCTACAACCCCTTTGTTAATACACGCTTCACAAGGTATAAGTGATTCAAGTTTCGACTTCCGCATCCTGTAGAACTAGTTCGAGTCTATTACAACCCCTTTGTTAGTCCTCCTTGTGATATAAATGATTAAAGTTTTGATTCTGGCGCCATGTAGAGCTAATCTAAACTTACTACAACCCTTTGTGAGTACCCCATTCTTGAGATAAACCGCACTACAACCCCTTTGTTAGTATCTCCTTCAAGAGATATAAGTGATTCCAGTTTTTACCCTGGCGTCATGTAGATCTGGTTTGAGTCTGTTACAACCCCTTTGTTAGATCTCCTCGAAATATAAGTTTTGATTCCGGCTCCATGTAGAGCTAATCTAGACCTATCGCAACCCCTTTGCGGATACCCCATTTACGAGACATAAGCTATGGACGTTTTGCCCCGGGCGTCATGTAGCGCTGGTTCAAAACCCTTTTGGTAGTACACCCTTCTTGAGAAATAAGCGCTTGAAACTGTGGCTCCAGCCTCACACACCACAACCCCATTCTCGAGATGTGTCATATAGAGCTGGTACCTACCAGTCCCCTGTTCTCGATGTATAAACGATTGAAGTTTTGTACGTCAAGCAGATCTTACCTAGGCTTTTGACAATCCCTTTATTAGGAGCCCGTTCCAACACCACTTTCTCAAGAAATAAGCAATTACAATTAGAGATTTAACCCCTTCATCAGGGAGAGCCGTGACTAAAACTTCATCAAACACATATTCAAGAGAGATATTACCATAAGTTTACGCACGCCACTGACGTCACGGCAAAAATAAAAATGTCCTATTTCTTGTCTGTGAGGGAGGGTATCTCTAACCCGAAAAGTGCTAAAAAGGTAGGTGAAGAATATGCTGCCAGAAATAATGTTGCAAACTTGTTTCATGTGATTTGAGAAAAATCTGCATTTGTTCCGATGAACAGGAACTAAATTTTGTGCTCTTCCCATCTTGTTCTCTTTCTAGCTAAGCTGTTAGAGCAATAAATTTCATGGGGAAAACTGCAAAAACTATTGTCTGGATGAGCAGGAGGAAGAGCGGCGTTCGCTTGCCAGTATCTTAACATGAGAAATAAATTGTAATAAATTCATATTGATACAAACAACAATAATGAATAATAAGCGTACAGGTGAGCTACAAAAGAGTCATCATAAACACGTGCACCTGTAAGATTGAAAACGACTGGAGGCTTATAATATTCCCACGCCGATTCAATTAAACGCAATTTGTAAAATTATTCCTTGGGAGATATTGATTGGCGCTATTAAATAGAAGACGCTGAAAAATTTACACATTTCCTGTTTAAACTGGTTCTTCATTTATAGTTAGAGCTGCTTACATAGTAAAAAAAACCTGTAGATCTTGATAATCTCATTATTGCGCGAGCATTTATGTTCCTTATTTTCTCATGGTCGCCTTCATTTTTCCTGGGTGAATATAAAAGTTAGTCTTTCCGGCTTTCACTCTTCCTGTTTCATTATACTTTATGCCAGACTCATAATGTATCATATCCTACGTAATATAAGCTGATACAATCAAATACCTTCGATATTACCATCATCTACTTTGAGTTGGCAAGAGTACAGTTTACAACTCATTATGTTTATCCCAGAAAAATTACACCTCGAAAATGCATTTTTAAAACTACCTACAAAATTGATTAAATAATGGACGAAATTTCTATTTTTCTTATACTCAAGGGTTGGACAAATGATGATTTTTAAAAAAATTCAAAAGTGAGCATTTTAAAAATCAGGATTTTTTAACACTAGACCTTCTAGTTTTATTGCAATTGAAATTCAAAATGCCCCTGAATTTTTGTGAATAATCTTCGTACTATTTGCTAAATTTGACTACGTTACATTTACATGGGTCCAAAAACTCACTTGCATCAAATAACATTCAACCTCTACGGCACTGGTAAACAAATATATAAAATTTTAATTTACTCTCAGCTCAGTAACAAAAATCTTTTTTATACCCCTTACTTTGTGGAAGTATGACTCTTTATTCCCTCTGAAAACCTGAAATTCAAAATTTAATGCTTTGGTTTGATTGAACTCAATTAAATACGCATATGGCTTTAGTTGATTGAAATATATTAATGCAAAATGCGATTAATTTCCATTTTTCTTCACAAGTTCCCGGATATAAAATATTGGTAAGATTCATTAAAAGAAATACAAAAAGAATGTAATGTGCGAGGTAATGTGTTTCTCGTGATCACGTATCCATGCTAAATTTGATCCTTATCCTTTGGCATATACCTAGCGTCTCCTAGAATTTAGTCAACTGTCGCGGGGATGTGTCCCTGATGGTAGGAACCAACAGGGTTGCATCTCCACCACTTTTGTTGCCATTGCGCTGGGCCGCGACATATGTCAAACTGCATTAGAGGGAACTCTGCTTTTCTGTTGATAGCCTCTCCCCTGTGGTTCCATTAGTTCCGGATGCTTCCATCCATTGAACCTAACTCCTTCTTTCTTGTTTCTCCCTTCCTTATTGTTGTTCTCTCCCTCCCTCTGTCTACTATTCCCTCTACTGCCTCTGTTTCTGTCTCCCCCTTCTCACTTTTGAACCTGTGCCGCTTTTAGTTTAATTTTTTGGAAACGGTCATAGAGTCTTTCGTTGCTGGGGGTATTCCATACCTCCTAGATCTTCCGGTTGTGCGTTTTCTGTGGTATGTAGAGGAGGATCTTCCCCAACATTTCTGTTATAATAGTCTAGAAGCCTCAACTGTTGTTGGAGGAAAGTGTTACCAAAGGTCTGGGGGGTAGATAACAGTTTTATCGACATATAACTGGACATTACACTCCTGATTTTAGACAAATGGACTATGTTTCTACAATGCAATTTATTATCTTCATCGCTTTCATTCACAGAAAGCGACACTAACGATAGTATGTCGGTATTACAGAAACCATCACAAGGAATATTATCTAATCCAAAACGTATCGACATATATTATAATGCCATGTATGCAGGGTGGCACAATGAGAACGAAACAAACTGAATGACTTGCCAGGAAATAATTTCTTACACGCCTATTTAAATTAATTGTCATTTGCCACCCTATATCTTTCAAACGACCTGCTCAAATTTGAAAAATAAACCTTGGGCGTGTAGAAAATTAAGAGCCCATTCTAATCATGTATCACTCGACCCGAGGTTCAGTTTACAATTGTTGAAGGAGTGGCAACCCTGATTTCGTTACGAGTTATTCAGTCTGTTTCATTTTTGTTGTACCACCCTGTATACATAGAATATATCTTTGAGAGAAGATATATTCAGTTGTATTTTTAATATGCTTACATTTTATATTACATCCAAAATGTATGTTTATAAATTATCCATTACATACGAATGTTATGTGAGTACATATACATTTTTTGCTCGCTATGGGGATAAGGTCTTTCTTGTAAAAAAATAAGGAAATTAAAAAATTCAGTTTTATTTCTTTTAAAGGTCCACTCTATTGACTTGTTTCTACTTTGTAGCAATTCCAAATTTTCGTATTTTTATTTACCGTTTTTTGTAATTTTTTTTTAAGTAATTAATCATTAAGTATAATTAAAGAAATCTGTTGTGTACCTGGTTGTATATTCATCACATATCTTTTGACTAGATGTGAGATTTTTTTAAAATAATCACGAAATTATGACAATGTAGATTTTTAAAAAATAAAATGATTGTGTGTGTAAAATTGAATTTTAATTAATTATTGCCTGTTTTTCAGGGAACTAAGCCGAAATCAGTTGGAAGACATTGAGGCCTTAACTTTCAAACCGTTAGAGCAGTTAACAACGTTACGACTAAAGCGCAATCACATTAGTGAATTGAAAGATGGCGCATTTTTTGGCTTGAATAAGATTAAGTCTTTGTGAGTATCACAATTTAATTTTCGATCAACACTAATCATGTCTTTTCCAGGATGTTGGATTATAATTCTATACAGGTTATATCCAAAAGTTGGCTGTATGGATTGAGGAACTTAAAAGAGTTGACTTTTTCACATAATAAGATTAGCGACATACATGTAGACGCATGGGACGTCTGTAAGGAGCTACTTACTTTGTAAGAAAACAAAAGTATACTTGCAGCAGGAATGCAAATGTTGTTTTTGCAGGGACCTGTCATTTAATCATCTAAAAGCTATACAGAAAGATACATTCAAACACTTGGAGAAATTGCAGAAATTATTGCTAAACAATAACAATATTACCTTAATTAAAGAAGAGGCTTTCGATCACCTTCCAAACTTAAAGATTTTGTATGTCTTAACTTTGCTTAGAAATCGCAATTTTAATGCCATTTTGTAGGCAATTAAGTAACAATCACATTTCGTGGGCAGTGGAAGATGCCAACGGCGTATTTAGCAGCTTAAACAATTTGATGAAATTTTCCATTGCGTCAAATAATATTAAACTGGTCAATAGGAATGCGTTTAAAGGACTTGGTAGTGTTACTTATTTAGATATGAGCAACAACAATATCACTACAATCGAAAAAAACGCTTTTATGGAAATGCCGTCATTACAGGTGATTTATTATGACTGTACAAGAGGTATACTCACGTTTCTCCTTACAGGAAATCAACTTAAATACAACTGTTCTTTTATGCGATTGCAATTTACGTTGGTTTTACGACTGGTTAATTTTAAAACAGTTTCAAGTACAAACCATTTGCTCTTATCCTGAGGAGCTTAGTGGAAAATCACTTCTCGCAATTGCAGCGAGCAACTTTACATGCGGTAATAAAACAAGTTTAAAAAGTCATTATGCAAACATAAATGACGAGAGCGTATTTTCCTCCTAATAATATTAATGCTAGTACCAGGAAGAAATACCAGTAGGCACGAGATCCTTACCCCATTCTTTTTCAAATGAGCCGCCTATCGTCGAAGTCTATACAGTTTAATGAAAAATAGTGGAGTATACAAATACATACAAATTTTGAAATGGGCATTAGTTTTACTTTTATTCGAAATGTCTACATATGGAACTTTCTATAAATGCTTTCGTAAAGAGCATTGCGTTAACGGTAATTTTGGAACCTGTGTTAGTTTTAGTTTCATTCAAGGTGCCTACATATTATGATATTTTGTTTAACTGCTTTCATAAATAAGAAAGTTGCCATTGCGCATGTGCAAAACCAAATTTTAAAACTGGTGTTAGATTTTCTGGTATTTCAAGTGCCTATGTAATAAATTTCATTTAAATGCTTCAGTAAATAAGAAAGTTGCCATTGCGCATGCGCAAAACTAAATTTTGCAACTGGTGTTAGATTTGTCTTTATTCCAAATGCCTATGTTTAAAATTTCATTTAAATGTCTTCATAAATAAACAAGTTGGCATTCCGTATGCGCAAAACAACATTTTGAAAATGTTAATTTTACTTATATTCTTTGTGTTTACATATAAAGTTTCATTTAAATATCTTCATAAATAAAAAGTTAGCTCCGCACATGCGTTAAACCAAATTTTGGACACTGCGCATGCGCAAAACCAAAAAATATGGGACCAAGCCCTTTCAAATGAGTCCTATATCGCCAAAATCGGTTCAGTGGTTTAGAAGGAGTACGTGTGACGTACAGACGGACGTCAAAGTGCAGCCAATAGCGATTTTTCACTTTGAGGAAAATACGCTCACAAGACACAAAAATATAAAAAATGATCGCTTCTTTTCCAGTGGACCTACCGAAACCTAGATTAATCGAAGAACCTAAATTGGAAATTATGGCATTAAAAGGAGAGAATATTAGTCTTAGTTGTAAAGCGATGTCAAGTGCAGCTGGCCCTATGAATTTTATTTGGAAAAAAGACAATGTAGAGCTGATAAATGCGGATGTAAATTTGAAGACAGCTACATATGATGCGAAGAACATTGAAAGTACTTCCATCTTAAGTATTTATAAAGTAAAACATTCGGATGCTGGAAAGTATCAGTGTGTGGTTTTTAACGAATTTGGCACGACTTATTCTCAAAAGGCGAGCATTTCTGTTCTGAGTAAGTTAATTTGGTCTTCACAGTTCTTTTACATAAGGCGGTTTGATTTTAGTTTTTCCCACATTTGTAAAAATTCCTCAAAACTTGACTATTAAGGCTGGCGCAACGGCCAGATTGGAATGTGCAGCTCACGGCGAACCCCTTCCCGAAATCGCATGGCAGAAAGATGGCGGTAACGATTTCCCGGCAGCTAGAGAGAGACGAATGCATGTCATGCCCACCGATGACGTATTTTTTATTGTAAACGCCAAACCAAGTGATATGGGCGTTTACAGTTGTACAGCCAACAATGCGGCGGGTACAGTTGTTGCAAACGCGACACTTACAATAGAAGGTAAGAGAATTTTGCCAACTTCATGTTTCTTTAAACGTTTGTTAAAACAGAGATGCCATCATTCGTGAAACCCATGGAGAACAAGGAGATCACTGCTGGAGAATCGGTCGTATTGCAATGTATGGCAGGTGGTATTCCAAAACCGTCGATTTTATGGCTCAAAGATGGCGGTCCGATCTATGCAACTGAAAGACATTTTTTTACTGCCGAAGATCAGTTGATGATTATTGTGGATACCGTGTTGAGTGACGCTGGAACGTATCAATGTCGGTTAAATAACTCTTTAGGAACAGAAATCGATTACAGCGAACTGCTAGTTAAACCAGGTATGGCACAGTTTTTAATACAGACACTTGTTTCATGTTTCTTTCCAAGACTTAAGCTATCAGCTTGGCTCACAAACAGAAATACAAAAAATACAATAAATTACTTGTACAGTCTCCTGTTCAAAATACCCACAGACCTCTGAATGCTAAACAAAATTTTAATCCAAAGAACAAGTGTTACTGAAATTATATTCCAATCAATGAGACAAATAACCAAAATTCTTTGTTTGGATTCGATTCTTGTCCATAAATGCAATACAAAATCTATTTCGTGCAAATAATTTCCAGGGGTCAATTCCTTTAGGAATATTAAAATTATACAACCAAATTGATATTATGCCATTAAAAGTATGGAAACAGAATGCTTCGATGGCACAGTTGACTTTCTGCATCGCCCGATAACGTTATCTTTGCGAGGAATGCAAAATTGTTCACGCCCATTATTTTGAGTGTTATCGAGAAACTTAGAAGCATTTAATAAATTAAAATCAACAAACGCTCTCGCTATTGAAAATGTTTACAAATTGAATTGCACTAAAGATTTTGTCTTGCAGGTGTAAACATCGATAACGAATTGATGGGTATTATCATCATTACGGTAGTATGCTGCGCGGTGCTGACCTCGGTGGTTTGGGTTGTAATTATTTACCAAACGCGTAAACGTTTACATCCCACAAAAATACCTATGCCCGTAATAGAACCGGCCGCTCTCGATTTCGCCAACAAAACTATGTCACAGTTCGCAGACAATACATCGGAACACTCGTCTTGTAAAGACAGCGGTACTGGCGATTCGGCGAAAAGGAGTAACGACGATTTGCTTCCGGGTGATGAGTATACCTTAATAATTAATGGTGAGATTGTCCTATCGTTGTCTACATTTTTGCTAATTTCTGTTTTTAGAAAACAATTCCGACGATAGGAATGTTCCTGTAAGGACAGCTAGTTTAGTATATTTGGTAGCTGACACAAATAATTCTCATACGCCTCTGCTTCACAAGGACGGCCCGTCTTATCCTAGATCGACGAATCACGATCGGCTGGAGGAGGAGAAGCTCTCAAATTCCGATATTAAAATAGATACTATATCTGTTAGTAACCCCGATGACTAAAAAATATTAATTTATTCTTTATTACTGGCTACAAAAACCGGTGATTAACATAACTTTGAAGATGTATTCTTCCGCAAGATTTGTGGATTTCCTATTTAAAGGTACAAGTTTTTTCCGTGTAAAATTATATCTTTAGTTCCTGTCTAATTTTAAATAATCGACTGTTAAATATTTAAGTGAAGGGCATATTGCAATGTGTCAAATTTTGTTTTATTTCTTCTATGGGAAATGTGTAACTTGTGATTGCTATTGTACCTAAAGTATGTGATGCTCTTAGTTTGTATACTCTACTCACAAAGTGATGGTTTGATTATCTAACGATAACACTACAAGAGTATATTTTAAACAATATTGAGAAGCTGGAGTAGGAAATATTTTCTCGCCAACATATCGTTTAGTGTTTGCAATCATCGTCAGTTTGTGGAGTATATACAGTGTGTCTTATTTAAGATTCCACTCTTTGACATTGTTTTTTGTGTGAAATTAGTAAACATTTTTCAGATATCGCGTAGTAAATAAAAATTGAATCAACGAGTGAGGGAACCGTCTTAGAATGGAATCTTGTTTATAATTCAAAACTTCGTACCGCAAGTATAACAGCAAGCTATTCTCGTTACCTGATTTGAGATTTTCAAGTGAGCTTTTTGGCTAGATAAATGGTTTGGAATATTTTTGATAAAGATATTAAAATGTTTTGTGAAACGTTACCAATAAAAACAACAATATCAAGGAGCTCATTGGAATGTTATCCCATTGTATATTTTCTTGTAAAACGTGTATAGTATATTCTTGTAGGTATTAACAAGGTATTTGTAAAGTATTGTTTTTGTTTATAGAGCATGCTTGTTATGTTTGGTTGTCTATTTATTACAGTTTGCGTGTGCGTGTATGTTATAATATAAGCGTCTAGTGCCGTTTATTTGGTAATCCAGTGCACATAGTTGTTGAAATTATATTCTACAAGTTTGTTATTTGTTGCTTTTATTTATGGAAATATTACAATTTTTTTTTTATTTAGAAGCTATTTTCATTTTTAGTTCTGTTAGCTAATTTTTTCCAATAGGCATTCCATATTTTTTACATGTATATTCTCAATAGTTAAAAAGCATTTGTAAAAAATACAGACTCTGTTAGATGTTAAGGAAACACATTAAAATTCTTTGTTTTACCGATTCTGTTAACTTACCTTTTGCCCACTATTTATAGTATTATTAAGTATAATACCTCATTGTGATTTAACAGTGAAATTTATCATTGATAAGTAAAGTGTTAGAATGGGATATTGAAGTTTTTATTATAATTTAGATTAAATAAGAAAGCCTGTAAACCTGTATGATTTTTGATGAGTGCAGGGTCAGGTTAAGGCTCTATAGTCAATGTGCCATATTAAAAAAGGCAACCAAACGATCTGATGAAATTGTGCTTCTGTAGTTGAAGTCTCAATAGCAGATATTCTTTGCAAAGAGGAAAAGAACGTCTATACTTCCAGAAATAGAAAAAGCCAGTGGTGTGGTGCCAAATTTAGCAGTGCCGGAGCCCTTCAAATGCAGGTATCCAAGGGTATCGAATACCCCCCCCCCCCTCCCAAACAAAATTGAGGTCCAGGAAAATAAAAAAATTTGCAGTAAAATAAATGGGTTTTGCAACAATTTCAGTTTGTAGATTTTTGAATAAATTATTGCTCTAAAGGTGTAAGGCTTATATCTAAGTCGCAAATATCATTAGTATCATCACTAATCTTATCTCCGTCTCCTATCCTGTGCCGGAGCGCCGCTCCCCTTCACAAGCAGTGTCGGAGCCGCTGCGCTCCGGCTCCACTACACCACTGGAGAAAGCAATTTGATAGTTATAATGAGAAAAGAAACTGTACAGCACCAAGTTTGAAATGCGACAGCATTTTTTACGTCGATCTACGAGTTCCATCTATTACGATAATGCATATATTTTAAAGAGTATATTCTATGATTTTCAGAAAAAAAGCAAAGCAAAACATACAGATAGGCAACTCTGATTACACTTAAAACTCCCAAAAAATGAATCTGGGGGGAAAGTAGTGTAACCATTGAGTAATTGTGTAACTTCTCACTAAGTTTATTATATCGCTGTGCTAATTGCTATGAATGAAGATAAGTGTAACGCTAGTAATTATGCGCGCCGTGGGACCACCCTCTAGACTCCCAATGGATGAGCAAAGTGTTTATAAGCGCATAGAAGTTTATAAGTTAAAAAAGACTTTTCTGTTTAAATATTTATAAGATACTTATACTTACTGGTCATATCTAATTACTCAGTTAATTTATTGATTGACCTTGTCTATTAATTTAGTTGTTTCAAGCGCCGTTAGGAATTTAGCCCCTACAACATATTCTACTGATTGAAACCCTCCTAGCCTGCAGACCTTTGTTTATACATGAATAACCAAAAGCTGGAGTATCAGTAACGCAGGTAGGGATACCATTTGCATATACAATCAGACAGAATGCACTTTTTAAACTTACCGGCGCTCATATGGTATGTAATAAGCAAATTCGTACACAGGTGATAGAACAGATTTTTTCTATTTCGGTGTCACAATGATGATTTTGTACAACTGTTTTCGGCCGATAACAGTTGTACAAAGACAGTGATTATAGTCGTTTTTTTTGGTAACTCATCTCTTAAGTTGGCAGTTACTTAGTTAGTACAAGTAGGTACTTCGTTGGGTACTTCCATGTTTGAACTTCAAACTGTCAGTCTTATATGGTCTTACTACGCTGCCAACCTAAAACTTAACGGCATAAAAAGTGTTCCCAACATAAAACATGTTAGTTCTAATGTTCCCTATAGCTATAGTTTCTGATAATGATTTTTTTAATTAAATTAAAGCACCGAAATAGAAAAAATAGTATGAAAAACGCGTGTTACAATGCTTTATTGTAATACTCCTATCTTGCGGACACTCGTGGCTACGCTTCGCGTCGCCACTCGTGCCACAAGATAGTCGTATTACAATAGGTCGCATTGTAACACTTGTCTTTCAATATACTATTCTGTCAACCTCACACTGAGAAATTGTGAATATTTTTCATGTATTTACACAAATTGTACTTTATGTTGTAACAGGCTTAGTTACATTTACAAGGGTCGAAGACCTCACTTGCATTAAATAAAATTGAACCTCTATGGCACTGCCAAAAGTTTAAATAGGACGATTAGTTTTTATTTTACCCACGGCTATAGTCTCAATTTTCTTATATTTCTTGCCTTACGTAAGTTTGGCTTCTTCTCTCAAAACCTGAAATTCAAAAATCTAATGCTCCATGGTTTGATTGAATATATTAAGAAAAACAAGGACGATCAAATTTCAGTTCTTGGATGTAAATTCATAAAAAGAAATATCAAAAATGCGATGCCTATTTCGTGATCACGTGTCCATGCTAAATTTGATCCGTATCTAAACATTTTATCTTTACCACATAATGAATTACTGGCACATTCAAAATATACACACACCCTGAACTGAAACTAACTCATATTTTAATCCAACCAAAGTTGACCTAAAATAAGAATAAAAGCAAATAGAAAGCGAGGGCCAACTGTCGGTATAATCGGAACTCGAACAAAATTAAATATATTTTAGTTGAAACGGCTCATTGCAGGACCGATAAAGGTGGGTTAACTACCCTGGGCCTGCGCGTACCCTGGAGATCGGGTCTAAAGCGACCTTCAAATTGACCTTCAATTATAATTTAACAGCAATTTTCCCAAATAGTGGGTTGATGACTAACGCCTATCACACACATGTTAGAAAGATTTTGAAAATGCCTAAAAAATCAATAATTTTTACATATTAGCTCAAGAGAAATCAAAATCAGATTCTATCGTGTTTAAAGTGACTATCGTCAGTCATGCTACGATCTAAGGAACCGGAAAGCGGATTCAAAAAACCAAATCTATTTAAATAAGGAATACCTACTCGTTCTTGAGCATTTTCTTTAGCAGTTTAGCTGATGTAGAAGTTTTAGGCAGGGGCGGACTGGGTAACTGCGGGCCAGGTGGAATTGCATAGGTTACGGGCCATTTACCCAGATAGCACAGTTCGTTTTATGTACGTCCGTTATTAAGCTGTTATTAGTACATACGTCCTTGGACTAAATATGTACTTCCATCATACGTACAACAGCACACGTTCCATGTACGTAAGGTACACGTATGTACCGTGTACGTCCATTTATGAGTTATTGTTGTTGCGTAAGACTTATTACCAAATTTGTACATCCATCGTACGTACGTGTTAAGACGTCCTATGTTGGTACAACACCGTTCGTTCAGTATACGCCATATCTTCGGTTTGTGTTACTATTCGCGTTTACAGTTTACACTGTTGGTAGCGGCGGCTAATTTTTTCGTAGTTGGTAGAACTCGACACTCGTCCCGTTACGTGTTTTACAGGTTCCATTTGTTTAATGCTTTGTTTTGTTGTAGTGTAGTTATTTTATGGATTACACTTTTACAGGTAAACAAATAATAATTGCAAGTAGTTAAAATGAGGAATGAATTTAAATAATTTGTTGTAGGCGTTGTATGAAGTATTTTCGCGGTTTATTTTGTACGTAACCTCAAATTTGTTGGCGGTAATTTTCAGGATTACAACACTTGTACAGGTAAATAAATAATAATTGCAAGTAGTTAAAATGAGGAATTAATTTAAATAATTTGTTGCAGGCGCTGTATGAAGTATTTTTGCGGTGTATTTTGTACGTAACCTCAAATTTGTTGGCGGTAAGTGCATAAGTACGATTTCTTTTTATAATGGCTTCTAAAAGAAAGAGAAATTCTGTTTGTGCATCTCGGAGCCAGTATCGAATTGCGAGAACACGAACCGATCTGGCCGACGAAATGATTTCTTATGATGTCCCGCAAGTGGCTGATAATATACCCAATTCCGATCTTGATGTACCCAATTCGTTAGCTATTATTGATGATATTAGCAATGTAGAACCCTTACATTCTGTAGTTGATGACAGTATTGACGTGGAAGTGCATAGTGATGAATTTTCGTTATTTAGTTCCGATACTGAATCTAATAATAACGTTCGTGATTCGTCTCCAGAGTCATCCACGTTTAATTTCCCTACCACTACTAATGATCATGCCAGTGAAAATTTTCAGTCTCATTTAGCTTGCTGGGCCATTAAATTTAATATACCTCATGTCGCATTAAATGCATTACTTCTATTGCTAAAAATGTTTTTTGATGCTACACTCCCAAGCAATGCACGAACATTACTTGACACACCTCGACAGTTGCATATCAAAACAATTGAACCAGGTCAGTACTTCCACATTGGAATTATTAAAGCAGTTACAAAATTGTTGGCTAAGAATAATTTAGCCCATTTAACACCTGCCAGTGGAATTAAGATATGTGTTAATATCGATGGTCTGCCTATTGAAAAAAGTAGCAGCAATCAGCTCTGGCTAATTTTGTGTAATTTACAAGGTAATGTTAACAATGTCGAATTAATTGGTGTTTATCAAGGTTTTGACAAACCTAAAGAACCAAATATATTTTTAAATGATTTTGTTCAAGAAGCAATTTTCTTAACAAACAACGGCTTTACTTTTAATGGTAAAATATTTCCATTTGAAATAGCAGCATTTGTTTGTGACGCTCCAGCAAAGGCGTTTATAAAAAAGACGAAAGGTCACGCTGGTTACAGTTCCTGTACAAAATGTTACACAGTAGGTAATTTTGTAGAAAATCGTGTGTGTTTTCCCCAAATAGCAAACCTTAAACATCGAACAAACCAAGAATTCCGAAACAAGGTAGATGAAGATCATCACACTGGAACTACAATACTAGAATCTATTCCTGGTCTTAATATGATAGCTGCTTTTCCATTGGATTATATGCACCTCATTTGTTTAGGTGTGATGAGAAAGCTTTTGTTAATGTGGGTTACTGGAAAACCACCGACAAAATTGCAGCACATAAAAGTTCAAAATATATCACAAGCATTAATTAAACAAAGACCATTTTCACCTTGTGAATTTGCTCGTAAACCGCGATCTTTATCTGAAGTAAATCGATTTAAAGCAACAGAATATCGGCAGTTTTTATTATATACAGGCCCAGTTATTCTGCGTTCAATATTATCGCTAGATATGTACACAAATTTTTTAAGCCTGCATATAGCTACTTTAATTTTATCCAACACAAAGCTGTTATCGCACTTCGGAGATTATAGTGATTCATTACTTAAATATTTTGTAAAAACATTTATACTTATCTATGGCGAACAAAATGTATCACACAATATACATAATTTACTTCACATTTTTGCAGATAGCAAACAATTTGGAGTTTTGCAAAACTTTTGCAGTTTTCCCTTAGAAAATTATCTCCAGTCATTCAAAAGGATTATTAGAAAAGGTGACAAACCCTTATCCCAAATTATTAAAAGAAAGTTTGAGCAAGACTCTTGTGTAATTGTAGAAAATTCTTTCTGCTGTGGCTATCCTATACCCAGTATGGAACACAATAATGGACCTTTAATTGGTAACGGCGTATTGACACAATATAAGCAAATTCAATTTCAAAATTACACCTTGAAGCTTTCAATGGGTGATAATTGTTGCTGTCTGAATGATGGTAACGTTATATGTATTAAAAACTTTGTTTCAAAGGATGACGAGTTATTTATTATCGGGTTCAAGTACATGGAAAGAAGTGATGTGTATCTAAAACCTTGCAAATCTTCATCCTTGGGAATATATTTTGTAAGTGGGGAAGGATCCCTTAATATATGGAATATTAAGAACATTTCGAATAAACTTGTTAAGGTTATTGTAAATGATAAAATTGCTGTGTTTCCATTTTTACATTAGTTTTTTATAAGTTTGAATCTTTTGTTGAAAAATTTTTTTTTAGTTATTGTTTTATTAGCTGTGAGCATTGTTTTTGTTTTTGTCGCTTATAAGTACACTTTGTTATTTGTGGAAAAATACTTGTTTTGGCATTTATTTACAGTAATTCATCATAGAGATCATGTCTGCAAAAGTAACATGGTCCGTAATAAAATTTCCCGAGGACAATGATGCGGTTGAGGCAGTACCATCTAGATGGTTAGTGGGTAATAAATGTAAATGGCCTCCATACCCACCAAACAGCAAAAAGTTAATAGAGGCCATTGAGAAAAGTGAAATGCCTAGTGAAACATGGCAAGAATTTACCATTATACCTTTTCGTAACAATATTTATGGTATATTGTGTTATAATTTTGTATTACTAATAAACGAAAATTCTTTTTTAGATGATTATGAAGCTGTATCACTCCCAGATCCACCACCTGAGCCAGCATTCATCCGTAAGTAATGTTCATGTTATGATTGCAAGGTATATATATTTGTGTAATAAAACTATAATCAATAAAAATTTGAAATCTTTTTTATTGTTATCAGGATTTTTAACTGCAATTTGCTTTTACAGAGAAATTGATTAACAATGTAGAAGATTCGTCTTCACTTCAAGGTGCAATTGATTCTGATTCGTATCAAGATATAAATCCTAACGGATCTTCCTCAAAATTTATGGCTCCATCTCCAATTTGTAGAAAAACTCAAAAAGGTATTCCTATAATATATCCTATAATTTAAAAAAATAAATGCAAACACTTTTCAAGTGCGCAATGATCAACAACCTACTTATATCGAAGTACAACAGCCTATGCTTGACAAAAATTGTGACAAAACCGTTGTCCATACACTAGAAACACCAAATCAAAAAGAAATTGGAGTTAAAGATGTTTATAGTAAGTGCTAAAATAAGTTTTTTCTTTTGTACTCCACTGGTTTATGATTACTATTGCAGACCTATTGTTAAGGCTCACAAGAAAGCAAGAGTTATTACAGCTGGTAGTAACGGACATAAAGGAAAGTTTAATTAAAATGGAGACTGTATTATTGAGAAACCATCAGGTTGACGTAGAAACAGGAGATGCGGAATCCATTTCCCTTAAATTTAACCTACCCATTGATGGTGTCGAGAAGCTAAAAGAATTTGAAGCTTACTTCATTGAAAATGAGAAAGCATTTTAAAAAGCAGTGAGTAGTTCTTGAATTGCTGCAAATTTATATACATTGCATTATTAATTGTAGGTTCATGAAGTATCTCAATTAGGAGGGAAGCATTTGTATGACTTTATTTATAGAGCTGGGAGAACATTAATTACAAATAGCTTCGCATCAAGTTCAGCTACTTGGGAAAGCGACAGAAAGAATCTTTTAAAATTCTTAAGATGAATCATTTGTTGATAGGTACATTTTGTGCTGCATAAGGTATAAATACCTAATTATACTATATAACATTTCTTGTAGAATCTGCTATGCATCTTCATAAACAAGCTACTGTCAAGGATGTAGAGGTGGAGATCTCGAAATGGCTTAAAAGAGCTGCAGAGAGGGCAAAAAATGAAAAAGAATAAGTCTACTTTTATCTTCTTTCGACCTAACTTTTAAAATAAATTAATTCATATTTAAAATATATTGTTTTTAGTTTTCACCCAACACTACATCTATATAAGATTTATTTTGAATTTGTATGTAACAGTTAAAATAAAATTTCTTAATTTCTTGTTCCATATCAAGTTAACTAAAAACAATAATTTCTATATTCAACAAACAATGGGAAGCATAATGCTTCAGCATTCGACTCTTCAGTTTTGAGGGAAAACGCCAGACAGCACACGGTCTGTTTACTAAAACGGTTGCCTCATTCGCAGAAGTTTATAGAAATGTGACGTAGCTCTGAATGTAAAAAAAATTAAACCCATATCATATTAGCTAATCAATTTGACATACAACACACAAATCAGCTAATAACTATGCGATTCATTTTTTTACATTTGGAATTACGCCAGGCATTTACAAACTGCTTTCACTGAGGCAACCGCTTTAGTATACTGACCATAGATCAGTCGGCAGCAGCAATCAAACATGACCTCCAGCTTCGGTCCATACTGAATATACATTGTACATACTGAAAGTATGTACATGGTATGACCTAATATAATGTATTATGTACGTACAAAATGTATGTAATGTGGACGTCCAATTTGTTGACAAAAAGACTAATTTTGGACCAAAAAAATCTCATAACTGGACCAATTGTGGACAGGCTATGGACGGAAAAGTGATCAATACAGACGTCTCTTGGACGTCCACTGTATGTCCTTGTGCTATCTGGGTTAAGTATTAGTGTAGTGAATGAGGAGGCGGGGGGGGGGGGGTAGCTCTGAGGTGCACCACAAAAACATTTTAAAGTACTCCTTTCTCGAAAATAAATTACCATACAGTTTTTTTTTAATTGCAGCTGATAATTAAAAGTAACAAAATATACAATCCACACGAGGTGCGTCGCCTATCATTGTATTTCAGCACTTTCATGCTACGATAAAAAATGATAAATTCATTGTAAAACACTTCAATTAAAACAGAATTTTTTAACAACCTAACATCAACCCCAATTAGAGAAAGGTGTTAATAATTTATTAATAGTGCAAGAAACTAAATACAGCACATACTTATAAATTTCCAACGGGCCATTATGATCTACAGGGCAGGTGGCAATCGCCACCCGCCCCCCCTGGCCAGTGCGCCCCTGGTTATACACTGCCTTCTTTTGAGCCCCGAAAAAAACATTGTCTCAGATCGACCCGGAAAAAAAATTTCTTATAGAATGTGGCCTGTAGAATCCATAATTTAAAACAGTTCCAAGATTGGGCTACTAGTTCAAAAGTTACAGCCCTTTGAATTTTTTTTCGAAGTTGGTTTCTAAGTCTATAACTTTTGATTAAGAAGTCTGATCGAAAAGGTACGAATTGATTTGGATTCTACGTACCCAAATTAATAAGAAAAAGTGTTTTCCCGAGAAATTTTGGTGTAGTCGATTTTTGGTAAAAAAGGAAGGTTATACACTGCCTTTTTTTGAGTCCCGAAAAAAAAATTGTCTCAGATCGACCCGGAAAAAAAATTTTCTTATAGAATGTGGCCTGTAGAATCCATAATTTCAAACAGTTCCCAGATTGGGCTACTAGTTCAAAAGTTACAGCCCTTTGAATTTTCTTTCGAAATTGGTTTCTAGTCTATAACTTTTGATTGAGAAGTCTGATCGAAAATGTACGAATTGTTTTGGATTCTACGCACCAAAATTAATAAGAAAAAGTGTTTTCCCGAGAAATTTTGGTGCAGTAGATTTTTGGTAAAAAAGGAAGGTTATACACTGCCTTTTTTTGAGGCCCGCAAAAAAAATTGTCTCAGATCGACCCGGAAAAAAAAATTTCTTATAGAATGTGACCTGTAGAATCCATAATTTCAAACAGTTCCAAGATTGGGCTACTAGTTCAAAAGTTACAGCCCTTTGAATTTTCTTTCGAAATTGGTTTCTAGTCTATATCTTTTGATTGAGAAGTCTGATCGAAAAAGTACGAATTGTTTTGGATTCTACGCACCAAAATTAATAAGAAAAAGTGTTTTCCCGAGAAATTTTGGTGTACCTAGTCGAATTTTGGTAAAAAAGGAAGGTTATACATAGGGGCGGACTGGGTATACTTACGGGCCATTAAGCCATTAAAGTATTAGTGTAGTAATGATGGTGCCGGGGAAGGGGGGGGGGGGATAGCTCTGAGGTGCACCACAAAAACATTTTAAAGTACTCCTTTCTCGAAAATCAATTACCATACTTACAGTTTTTTTTAAATTGCAGCTGATAATTAAAAGTAACAAAATATACAATCCACACGAGGTGCGTCGCCTATCATTGTATTTCAGCACGTTCATGCTACGACAAAAAATGATAAATTCATTGTAAAACACTTCAATTAAAACAGAATTTTTTAACAACCTAACATCAACCCCAATTAGAGAAACGTGCTAATAATTTATTAATAGTGCAAGAAACTAAATACAGCACATACTTATAAATTTCCAACGGGCCATTAAGATCTACAAGCCAGGTGGCAATCGCCACCCGCCCCCCCGTGCCAGTCCGCCCCTGTTTTTAGGGTTTAGTAAGTTTACATGCATCCTAATTGATCCAAAATAAAAACTCACTCTTAGCCTTCCTAGTGCCCTCTCTAAAAGGGAAGAACCATCATCATTCAATCCATTTAACCGGCTACATACACCGCACTGTTTAAACGTTCGCCAACAACTGGACGCTAAATTGTACATGTGAAGCGATAACAGGTAGAGATCAGCGTCGGCGTGACCTTCTTATCATTAGTCACAAATACCTACTTTAATTGAAAATTGAAATCTCTTTAAATACAAACAATTGCGTCACTCTTAACTACGCGTTTTGACGCTATTTACATAAAAAAATGCTGCTAGCCATTATTGTTTTACGTCTTCCATTTCCCAATTGCACTTTTGCAAAAAAACATTTACGGCAATAAGGCACTGCAAAGCGAAGTATGCATAACTTTTTTATCTGTCAGTCATCTATCCATCTGGACAGGCTTTTACTGGACTCCCGATATCTATCTATGCAACAGGTAGGTACTCAAGTGGTATGAAATAAACTATTACGAGTGGAGTGTGGGGGGTAAAAATGATTCTCTTCTTTATACAATTCCCATCCCCTAACTTCCCACCAAGATCACGGTTGTAACCATTTGCTTGGTAACCTTGCCCGGCAGATTGGAATTCACATTTATCATCCATTTTGTAAGAGAGGTATCATTTCAGGAACCAAAAAACTTACCGGACGATAACAGATTAGAAACCGTGGAGTGAAGGCGGAAGAGAGAAAAAAATGTTTTTACCCATATCATCATATGTGATGCTCTTATGAAGAATCTCAACGTAAAGAATTTATCATCTATCGAAATCGTTCCATTTTTGAGAATAGAGTCCAGGGAAAGAGTCCATACAAAGGCACACCTGAACGTTTCAATGAGGAAGATCAAAATTTAAAGAATTGCCTCTGAACAATGAAACAAAGCTTCTTGAGATTTTGACTTGTCTTGTGTCTAAAAATAAACAGTCAAGAATTCCGGAATCCCTCAGCGAAAGCCCAGTTTTTTTATAACCGATCAATACTTGCAATATTTTTTCCCAATGTGCTCTTAAAGGAAAACTGGTTAGTCTAATTCGGTTGTTTTTTAAAGGCACGTTTTCAATGTACTTATTCAAAAGTAACATCACTGTCTATTAGAACTCCGGATTTCATCAATCGAATGATGAGATTGGGAATAACCCAGTCACTATACAGTTTTGTAAGCTACAGTGCGTGCTGGTCAATAATCTTTATCGTTAGGGTGAGCCGGCCTGCTACTCTTTGGGGTTGTGAACGACCCTGCTTCTTTAGAAATTGGTTAGAGTAGAATTACACTTGATCCGACAGACTCTTATACTCTACGGTGGAGTGGGTGACTGTCTGTCTACCCTATGACGCCTTCTTCTGCGTGGAGATGGCGCTACGTAATGTGGTGTGTTTGGAGGAGACTGTTCGTAGTAGACCCATCTCGGTTCTCTTCCTCCTCTCCTGCGACGCGCCAGAAATGCGCTTTTATCTTTTGATTTTTTATTGAACTTTCTTTACCTGCAACGACCCCTAATTTGCTTAGAACTTAATTTTAGATCTCATCTCCATGCATAGAGCTCACAAAGGGGACGTCTAATTAGAGGCGCATATTTAGCTCCCGCCCTACTTCCGATAGTCAGTCTGGTTCCACCAGCCCTCCAAAAACTCACCCAGTCGGTGGTCTTTGAACAGCCACCGTTATGTGACTATGCCCTTAGTCTACCAGGCTATATTTTTAGCCCCCTGGGCTAAAGTTTGGCAAAAATTATCCACAAGTACAGATTTAAATTGCAAATAATGAAAAAACATATAATTTAGCACATATCTTGCCGCCCCCCGAAAGCGGCGCACTGAGCAATAGCCGTGTTAGCCCATTTATAAACCAGGGCCTGTAATAGAGTCCAGACTCACATTTGGGAGGTGTCATACATCGGGTTGGCTAAGGGAATTAGGTTCCAATACCTTTATTCACTGATGTCCCACCACCGCCGTCAAACAACAGCACAGGAGATTTTTTTATTGCCATTTGAAAACGTCTACAGGGTCGACGATTTCCAAACACTCATTTGGACCGGTTCGCTCCGGCCCAATTGGAAACTATGCAAAAAGGTGATTCGCTCACCACTTGGAACTGGATGGTATTGATATAAACAAAGTATAATATCAGTTCGCGAAAGGAAGGGACTAAAGATTGCAACATTCCTATCACTAGCATTGAAAGCGCGAAAGAAGTCGGTATTTTATCCGAATAGTGGTCAAAGTGGTAATTATTTGACTGACTTTTTCAATCCGTCAGTGTGACATTAATGCAAAATTTGACAATGGTTACAATCGTGTCCGATAGTGCTTCATTAAACACCACCATGGTGCCATCCCGAGCGAGTAACTTGCTCTTCCATACTTTGGGATACATATTAATTGCCATACTGGCTGTAGTTGTATTACTCAATTGTATGTGTTGCTGCATGTGCTTCAATTTCACAAAGATCCTAAGGAGATGGTGGTTTTCCGTTACTGCCCTATTTGAACGTCGCCAGCCACTGCGTGAACGTCCGCCACTTCCAACTGAGGCAATATTCTATTAGTATAACACAGGTAAAGTAATCAATTATTTAAAATAATTGTACTATTTTTTTTCATTATTAATTAGCTCGCTGAGAAGATGCTAAAAAAATACGAAGACTGGGAATTTTTGCCACCTTCCTGTGATATGTTTATTTGTATATCTTGTCTGCCATTTATTTAATAAATCCATTGTATTGGGATGTTTATTAATTCAGTGTTTATTTGATGATTCGCACAATGTTTTGCAGATAAATGTTAAATACAATGACTACCTTTGCTAACTAATTAGATTAATATGAATACTTACGTTGGTATATCGCGTTTGTTTGTACCTAAAGATTCCGCACAGTCATACTTAGTCATATAAAGCTTTATAAATGTTACAGGTTTTGAAGGTAGTCTAATTTTTAAATAATGTGATTTGCAATTTCCTCGGGGCGCTATATGGTTACGGACTATTGATACTGCGATTACTCAGACACATATTAGGTGGAGTCACCAGGAGGAATTAAAAAAAACCAAATACATGAAGGGCCGCGGATCCAGAGTACACTGTTATCACGCTTCCGCAAACCGTAGGCTACCTGAAGTTCGCGGAAGATCACCTTCAAGACGAGGATCTCCAACGATTTTTTGAAGACCCTGTCAATGGCTACCTACACCTGGCTTTCCCGATATTGAAATTATGTGCGACAAGCAAAGAAAACCCTACGTTCCCAACAGTTTCCGGTCACTGATATTCAAAAAATGTCCCATCCGAGCGGAATGAAAATGTCCAAGCTAATCTGCCAACGTTTCGTATGGCTTAAATTGAGATCCGACATCAAACAAAGGTGCCACCGCCATGAATAAATTACGGGCCCATTCTAAATATATACACACCCCTGAATTGTAAATAATATTTTAATCCAACCAAAGGAATGGTATCACTGATTAACAGAATGACCAATTTGTTTAGATTTGATTCTTTTCCATAAGTACAATAGAAAATCTGTTCATGCAATAATATTTTCAGTAGGGGAATTTTTGACACTCAGCTCGCATTCGGAAGCACGACTTATTTTAATCCGGCTCACAATCAATAGCACTGATCCTTGAACTTGTAAAAATCGATTGGGGAAGGTTTTGACATCGCTGTTTTTTAATTCGTTCTCGAGTTAGACGAGGAAAAAATCGGACGGCCAAAACCATCACATAATAAAGGGAATTTCTTTTGAAAAATTCCGCTAAAAAAAGAATAAAAGCTAATAGAGGAAACGCGGGCTTTCGGTATCACCGGAAGTCGTACAAAATTAAACATATTTTAGCTGAAATGGGACCATTGCAGGACCGATAAAGGGGGGTTAACTCCCCTGGGTTTGTGCATACCCTGGGTGCCCGGTCCAAGGCGACCTTCAGTTATTTAACAGTAATTTTTTTTCACATAGTCGGTTGATGACTAACGCCTATCACACGTATGTTGGAAAGATTTAAAAAAAAGCTTAACAAATCAATAATTATCTTTTTTGGATTTTTACGTTAGCTCATGAGAAACCAAAATGAGATTCTGACGTGTTTAAAGTGACTATCGTCAGTCATGCTACGTTCAGGATACTAAAAGGATCCGGAAAGCGGATTCAAAAAACCAAATATATTTAAATAAGGAATACTCGTTCTTGAGAATTTTCTTTAGCAGTTCAGCTGTAGAAGTGATTTTTAGGGTTTAGTAAGTTTACATGCATCCTAATTAATCCAAAATAAAAACTCACTCTTAGCCTTCCTAGTTTCCTCTCTAAAAGGGAAGAACCATCATCATTTAGCCGATTTAATCGGCTACATATACAATATACTGTTTAAAGGTTCACCAACAACTGAACGGTAAATTGTTATAGGTGAAGCGATCAGGTAGAGATAAGCGTCGGCGTGACCTTCTTATCATTAGTCACAAATACCTGCTCTTTAAACACAAACAATTGCGTCGCTCTTGACTACGAATTTGTCGCTATTTACATCAAAATATGCAACTAGAACGTACCTACCTATTCCATTATTGTTTAAAATCTCTCTCTCCTTCGTCTTCCGTTTCCCAATCGCATTTTTGAAAAAAAAAAAATAAAGCATTGCAAAGCGAAATATGCACAACTTGAGTTATATCCGTCCGTCGTATATCCATCTGGACAGGCTTTTAATGACATTATCTTAGACTCCCGATAATATATGTAACAGGTTACAGGTACCCAATACCCTTGAAGATGTGTCAGATGACCTACACATTTTTATGCCTAAGAGCCTCCCCTCTCCTATATGGCAATAGATTTTAAATGGGACAATCGAAGTGAGTCAAAGTTTAAACAAGTGACCGCCCTTAGTAGTATCAAATGAACTACTATGAGTGGGGTAAAAATGATTCTCTTCTTTATACAATTTTAATGAAAGGTCGGGAGTTTTTGCTCTCAAGTCCAGTTCCATTCCCTGACTTCCCACGAAGAGCGGTTGTAACCGAGGTTGTAACCTTGCCCGGCACATTGGAATTTGCAGTAATATCCATTTTCTAAAAGAAAAAGGTTTCGAAAACCAAGCACTATGTGAACTAGCAGATTAGAAACTGTGGGGTGAAGGCGTGAGAGGGAAAAAATTGTTTTTGTTGAGTCCAGGTGGGGCAGAGGAACTTGCTGATTTGTATTCGGCGCCCTTAGGCGACGGTTGCTCCAACGAAAGTGGGAATAGGTATATTTGAGAGAAGGGCATATAAAGTTTTTCCGTCGCGTAGTGTAGTCATCATCAGGGGGTGGACGAAGGCGGAGCGCCCGTTTGCCCTTGAGGCATACTTTTCTAACGGTCGCTCAGCCATAGCCACGCAACGTGCATTCCGTACTCATTTTAATATCGCGCCACGTGGACGTGTTGCTGGCCGGCAATCCATTGTTCCATGGGTAAACAATTTTAGGGAAACTGGTGATGTGAAGAAAAAAAAATTAAAATGAGTACAAAATGCACGTTGCGTGGGTAAGACTGAGCGACCGTTAGAAAAGTTATTCTTTTTTTTTATAAATGGTTAAAATATTGTCTTACTTAATTAAAACTCAATAAATGTCATTATTATTATTATTATTAAAAGTATGCCTCAAGGGCAAACGGGCGTTCCGCCTTCGTCCACCCCCTGATGGTGACTACACTACGCGGCGGAAAAACTTTATATGCCCTTCTCTCAAACATACCTATTCCCACTTTCGTCGGAGCAACCGTCGCCCAAGGGCGCCGAACACAAATCAGCAAAGTTCCTCTGCCCCACCCTGTACTAACATTTAATTAACTGCTGCAACATCCAAACGAACGCACGGACAGAATATCCATCGACCGCCTCAAACCACTACCACCTGCAGCCCCATTCAAATTCAGCATGATCAAGTCAGCCCCCAGCTCAGCTACAAACGAGATCAGGGAGAGCAGTGAAGTCATGGTGAAGTTCAACGCTACCGCTACGACAGCCCGCCATAGACTCCGCAATAACGTCACCTGATTGGTCCACGCGGTTTGGCAACTAGCGCGCGAGCTCGACCATACCAGCCACGGGGCCATCATACACTAACGTCTGACCATCTGCCGGTTCTTATGAAGCTCCATACCGGACCCTCAGTAGTGGCAGGTCCGCAAACTAAGAGCATGACGATTGGAAAACATACACCATCAAGCACAAAATTACAGGGTACTTGAATAACGTCGACAAGTGCCCTATAGTTGGGCAGTGTAGCCGAAAATTAAATTTTGAATATGCAGGGTGTTCACTGGAAACTTGAATTTATTGATATGGGGAAATAGTGGACTCGTGCGGCGGGGGCACCCATCGGGCGCGTGCCCATGTGAGTATAAGAAGCGAGAAATTTAGTGTGCAGTATTCAATCATGTTATTAATACCTATAGAAAGTCTGCAACTTAGCAAAATGTCCCTTGTGCTGTAACAGATTAGGGTTTATAAAAAGACAAAGTTGTAAATACTGCTATATTAAAAATAGACATTGTTTTTTATAACATTGCGTATTTACAGTAACAATAGTGCAGAAAAATTAACAGTCTATGACGCAGAATATTAAATTCCGTTTCATATTGGCAATGTTTCAGTGTACGACGAAGATTCCTTTTTTTGCACAGTGAAAAACGAGGTTTAATTGACCGACCTATCGAATTGGAATTAACTTATTACAAGAATCTCATTTGTACTGCCATAAAACTATTCAACATTTGTCATATAACTTTTATAATAAACTAAACGTCTTTGGAATGCATTTCAATGTGTAGCTTCATCAATTACCTCAGTGGTACGAGTCAATACTGTCAGTTCCTTCGGCAATGGATGAACAGACAGTGTACATACTGATGAACTTCTGCGTGAACATACATTTAATTTTTTAATGGCACGTTTAAATGAACAAGTTCAGATAGGCATCTGATAGTAACATAATGGCAGTATATAAGTAATTAATAATTTGAAACAAGAAACAATCTTAAACGTGGAATCTGAATTCAAACAATAGTAATAATTAAACATTGAACAAAAAAAACAATAAATAACAAATTCTGCTTTATACCGATGTTCTTTGAGATAATCCCACTTTTTCGGCAAAATTACCTAATAGTGAACTGAGCGCTGAATCACTGCCATTTTTGAATTTAAAGCCAATGGTAGTACTGTAACAATGATAAAACAGCGCTCGAATTCTTAGTAATCTTTCCTTGCGTCTGTAAACAAATTAAATTAGGAAAATAGATACCACATCAAAAGCAATTCAAAAATATTACATCGACAATCCGTCTATACCCCTATTGATAGAGTCTTCTTCGTCTATTAAAGTGCAACTGGAATCTTGCGAGGACTGACCTTCAAACCTAAAACAGATCACAATCACGAAACACTCCGTCTTGTATAAAACGTACCTGTTCGAGTTAGTGCCATTGGAATCTATGGTAGAAATTGACGCCGAATCCGAACCTCTTAAGCTACCAGTTCCGCTTATCATCTGCCAACTACCTACACTAAGCGACGAGGACGATTCCTGCCTTTGTCGAAATCGAGATGTGACAGGTACAGTTACAGGAGATGTGCGTCTCGTTTGTGGCGACCAAAGTAAGCTGCTGGACATGTCGCACGGAAAATTGTTTCTGAAAAAAAAATTGCAAATAAAAATGACACTTTTTGTATTGCACGAGGGAAAACTTTATTCCAATATGGCGGCTTAGGTATGCTTACCCATTTGTATTTTCATCATGAAGATGAAATGACACTGGAGGCTGCTCTTGAGATTTGCTACTAACAGAGGAACAGGAAGAGTTAAGACTAACATTTGAGCCTCGCGAATCAGGCTCGAGTAACATACTGTCTAATTGCAAATCACTATCAGTCCTCATAACAGATTTCTCATTACTTCGGTCGCTTAACTTACTACTACTTCGATGCCTGAAAAAAATTAATTAAACATCGGATGTACCAATGGCAACTCTTACCGTATTGTGCCCGAAATACTGAATTCGTCATCTATTAAATGTTTTAGGACGTAAAAACAGAAAAAAAATATTTCTTCCCCTTTCCCGAGGCGATCACAAAGATGATGTCCGAATAACATCCAGTCGTAGGATATTGTCAAATAAAGTATTTGCGAAACATCGAGGCTTTGATGGGCCAAACCGTCGGCCCATAAACTTAAGCGTAATAGTGATATAAATAAAGGCGTCCGATCCCAGCCACTGATACAGTGAATAAGGAGCCCGGAACTGCTATCCTAAAATCTTGAAATTGAAACATACCTACAGTAAACGTAATTAATAACTCGCCTGTAAATATTTTAATAAAAGTTTCATATAATTCTGAGTAATTTTTACAAGATCCCAACCCTTATATTCTTCCCATTTAATTCCTAACTGGGCGGAAATTGAATCTTCTGGAACACAAATGCACGCGTCGACATGAGCTTGTGACCAGTCGAATACCAAATCTTGTGCGGTGTAATCGCTGTCACGAAATTCTCTAAAGAACTCACAACCGGGGTAAGGTAAAGAGATGATTGTGAAATCGGAATACCTATTCTCCTTATCAACCTTTTCCGATGAAGTTACGCTAAAACACATAGATTAATACCCTTGGAGGAACCTATGCCACAGGTATAAATATACTACAGATAGCACATGGCTAAATCAGGAAACACAATTCAGTTAAGGTACCATCAATTTTTCTTGGGTCTGAGGTTTTAATGCTAAATTTTTAGAACAAAACCCTACTATCGCGAGTAGTTGGCACCCCCACCCATTCCCAATTAATTAAGCAGTTCGACACTGGCGTCTACTTTACACAAGAGAATTTATCGAGCTCTTATGTATCAATTATTTATATCTTCGGCCCAAAATTAGTGATCAAGCAAACTTACCTTAAGTGAAGTAAGATTATAATTATATGAAGCGTCCAATTCGACAATATCACTTAGATTATACACCCTGTACTACTGTTTTCAGTGCCAGATTAACCATTAGGTAGAGTAGGCAACTGCCTAGGGGCCCCGTGCACTCACCAAGAAAAACATTTCACGAATAAAAATTATTTAAAAATTTGAAAATAATGGAATCTTATATCGTATGATGAAGTTTGTCTAATTTTTCTGCCTTATTCTCTAAATTAACACCATACATAAGGTTCGTAAGAAAGAGGAAAAAATAATCAAGAATCATATGACTTATGTTGCATTTAAAAAAATACAAGATGGCGGTCGCACTCAAAATCCATGCGTAAAAAAATTTAACATCAAAATAAGAGGTCTGTAAATAAATTGAGACTGGCAGGTTTTGTCTCAGACTAGGACATATAGTGAAACATTTGAAAAGCTTCAGCAAGCCTAAGGAGGCAGTATTTTGTCAAAGGCCCACGTTTCTCGGTGTTTTCAGGCATTCTCAGTTGGAAGAAAGTGAATTGAACTATTGAAGATGAACCTCGCAGCGCAAGGTCTGCAATTGCAAGCTGAAAATATCGTCTGATTCCGGGATCTTGTGCGTTTGGATCGTCAGATTCCCATTTCCTGGAACTTGTGGTCACAAGTGATGTGACTTGGGAATTTGAGTAAGACCCTGAAACCAATTCCTAGTGACTAGAGCATGGAATAGCACACGGTAACATTTCCAAGGTCAAAAAAAACAAGAATGAGCAGGTCCCAGATCAAAAGCATGCTGATTTGCTTTCTTGATGGCCAGGGCATCGTGCACAAAGGAATTGTGCCCCAATGCCAAACGGTTAACCAACACTTTTCATAGAGGTTCTTTAAAGATTTCGGAAAAGGGTCATGCGTGCGAGACTAAACATCAAAAACAGCTGGGGGTTGCATCATGGTTCATTCAATTTTCATGTCTATGTCTCAAACGGTTTGAGTGTGAGAGCTTTGGCTCCATCTTCAATAGCGACCCTGTATATCGGATTTATGGCTCAGTGGTAGAGCATTGGGTTATAAATCCGAAGGTCGGGTGTTCGAACCTGGGTTGAGGTGAATTTTTCATCTGTGGCGGAGATGGAAATTACCTTAGACCAGTTCCGAGCATTCTACCGGCTGCTCCGAATTAGGTTTTCCTGCAGTTTTCCTAATTCGTAAGGTAAATACCGGAGTAGTATAGACCAACTTAAGACCTTCTGCAGAGGCACCTCTAAATAGCATTATGCGGGTCACTCTGTAATTGGGCGCATGCCTGTTGAGGGCCCAAAACAAGAGAGGGATAAAAATAAAATAAAAATAAAATATAATTGCATGGTGTATTTTAAAAAGTAAGAAAGGGGTGAAGTGAAGGAAAGAGGGGGCCCAAGAGTAGCATTGCTTAGGCCCCCTGACAGGGTTAATTCGGCACTGACTGTTGCGCACTATGTTTAAAGAATAAGATTTTAATTTCCCGCTACCCGCGTCTATCTTACTCGTCCGTTGCCCCTCTATAATCATTCTTTAGAGATGTAATGGAGTGGGCGGAAATGTAGGCAATGAGTAGAGGCAAAGAGGGAGGGCGGGGAGGAATATTTTCGGATTGGACAGTTCATATAATTATGATCAAACTTCACTTAAGGTAAGTTCGCTTGATCACAAATTATATATCAGGGCCCAATGCTCAATATCACTTAGATTATACACCCTGTAGTTGTTTAGAGGTCAAGTACTCATACTGCCGCATGCTCGAGGCGGAGATTAATTCTACCATGGTGTAAGACAGCAAAATTTGATGGCCGTCTGGCACACCTTCAAGGTATAGGCAACCTATTGCAAAAAATTCCCGGACTCTAGGACCATTCCCCTAGAAGTTCAATATGGCAGAAGTGGGTCTGGACGGACGGAAAAACCGCAAACAATACCACATTTTTTTTTAATTCTTAAAAATTGCGCTCAAGTCAGAAAATGGCACACGCATGTGCTGCCCTTCCACCCAACCTCACTTAGCCCTTGCTCCTTTATTCAAAACAGCCCCCTCGGCTTAGTTCGAGGAGCAATCCTAGTACATCAACATTAAGCTTCGATCCCCTTCTTACTATCAACACATCTCCACCATCTCGAATGCGTGACCGCCACTGTTCACTTCCCTGAACTGAAGATACTTTCTTCTGTTATTACCACCCCCCAACCAGTTCACCTATTTCCATCGAACAACTGATATTTGTATTCACCTTACCCCCTGACATCCTCATGGACGACTCCATCACCCAACACATACAGTTCGGTGACTCCACCAGCAATGCCAATGGCTCTATCCTATCTGATCTGGTAACCAGTCTGCCTGCTCTAGGGAGCACCCAGGAACCTCCATAATTGGCCATATTTGGTCTGATATTTAGCCACTTCCATGACTTCTGACCATCTACCCTTGCTCGTTAAAAGGTCGGTTCGCCACCACTTCGGCTACCTGCTCGCATTTTATGTAACGATTTTAAAAACACCAATAGGAACCCCCGAACACGTCTCCACAAATCCAATTCCTTCAAACCGGTGACAGAGCCCTTAAGACAGAATACACCCGACTCATCGACAAATCTATACTATACCACCAACCCTCATACAAAATACCCTTAAAAAAGATAAGAATAGTGCCCCAGGTCCTAATGGACTCAACAGGTTGATTCTTCACCACCCACCACCAACGGTCTAACCCTCATATCTCAACTATACAATAAATGCCCTCAAACATCCTACTTTCCCAAGGTCTGGAAAACCTTCAAAACCGTTATGATCCCTAAGCCCAACGCGGACTACTATCCAAACACCCAAAAAAGAAACCTCAAATTTCCCGCTTCACTACTCCTTCAGATAATTGACAACCTTCCAACTGACTTAGACCAAGTCCTTAACTCCACTCCCTACATACTCAGATAACAACCATAGATGTAATAGTACACAGATTAAAAATTTCCGATAAGGACTCCAGCGCCGTCCCCACTCACAACAGCTCAGCACGCCAGATACCACACAGATCACTTCGCTGCACGCATCCGGTACACCAGGAAGAGACCGGACCCCTCCCCCCAATACCATGTAATGGAATTCCTTTTTGATACTTTGTATGCAATAAATTCCTTTAATGTAAATTCCCAGCTGAAGAGGATACTGAACAGCTACCACAAGCGCCATTTAATATTGTATAGGTATACCGGTTTCCTTTTTGTATCAATCGATCGTATCTACACCTAAACCTTCTATGCTCATGGCATCGCTAGCAAAGATTCGTACAGCTTTTTACACATTGGTAGGTCGCTGTAACTTTCTGGTGCTAAATTTTACAATTGTGGCACTGCTGTAACCTTTTAAATATAGTCATTACTCACCTAAATATGGATTTTTCACCTCTTCTCCTCCTTTTCCAATTTAATGTCAAATAAAGGCCAATGGCACATACATTTAAGCATAGGAGAATACTGAAGTAACTACTTCATTTCGCTTGGTGTTTTTGCACGGGAGTAAAATCACCTAGTCAGTCATGCTCGAGTAATCGGCTTTATTAAATGGCATTTGAATGGAAATCACATTAAAATTGTTCATGTGTCTTTGAAATTGACTAATAGTCACTGTTGGTAAGGCAGCCGCCTATCGCTTATGACACATGTGCTTGGTTTACAAATCAGTCATGAGACGCTTCAGATATAATTTACTTGTATTATCATCACCCTATTTCTATAGTACATTGCGGTAAAATGAAAAAAGTGATTGAGTATAAGAGAGAAAGAAGTAGTCACTTCCGTCGGCCACTTTCGTATTGTTTAAAGTGAGTTATTATGGTACATATGAATACAAGAGTTTAAAAGAGCGATTTGTTCCTATTGCTACTTACACTCACATCACCGTAGCTATCTGTAGTATATTTATACACGTGCATAAGAGCAGAACTTACTTCATTCCAAACTTTACTTTCTTTTTTTCTACCATAAAGTCTATGATTGTTCCCACATTGAAAGTCTTTAATAATTTAATATCTTGACTACGGACTCTATCAAATAACTGCCAATCCGACTGGGAATTTGAAGTCTCCAAATCCTCCTCGTCATTGTCATATTGTTCACAAACAGGTTCGGCGCCGTTAAACAGATAATTAATACCAGATCGGCCGTAAATCTCCGGCCCCCCTGACAACGTAGCAGAACGACAAATATATTTACCCTTATATAAAATGACCGGTAAGGGAAATCTCGCTCGACACCTAAAAATTATGGTTCAATTCAAAGAGGAATTCGCAAAAAGAGATTACCTGGCAAATCGAGCTTTTACAATCAGGTCTCGTAGTTTTTGAGAATCGTACATACATTCGTATATCGTATTTGTTGTACGTTGCGTCCCTTGTGAAAGCGGATTCGACACGCATAAATTTTGATTTGGAGTGCGCTCGCATTCAAGTACGATTAACTGGCCCGGATAATGTGTGCTTAATTCGCCTCCAACATTGTTTAACAAAAAAAGGTTGTAGTCAATTTTCATAAGTTCGATGCTACGTAAAAGTGCATCATTGCCCTGCGAAAGAAGATGCGAGTTTGTTGTTAAATACATCAGAATATACTTACGATGGAGTCTGCTTCCTTAGCTCGATAAGTGCTTTTTGAGAAGTAATTTAATAAATTTTGAATATCGGAAGGAGAAACTGTTACCATATTTTGATTAACAGAATTTCCATCACACATGGTTGATCTAACCTTACATGGTACGAAATATTTGGCAAAATATACGAAATTTAAGCAGAAAAAAACTATTTAACACAAAATAAACACACTTCAATTGCGACATACAACATTATCATTCAAAAATAATATCATTTTTGCTATTTATCTAGAAATAACATCAAATAAAATAACGGCAGACATGTTAAATTCGTAACGTAAAGCGCTGATGCCAAATTGCCAAAAACAAAACAAACTCGCCGCTGCCAATTTTAGTTTATTAACTTATCACCACAATTTTTTCAAATGTATATTTCTCATTGTATGATCAAATGCAAGTCCTCTTGGCTCTTTTGGGTTTTCTATTTTCTGATGGTGATGTCAAGGCAACGTCTAGTGCTTCACATGGTCGTAGCCTGAAAGGTTTTTCTGCCATAGAGTAAACCTTGGCAGTAAACTTGGCCTAAGGAACGGCCGCTTGTTATTGGCGATCTTGATGCAATTCAAAAGTTCACTAGCTGCTCAGGTAGTAATCTTTAAAAGTCGCTTAACTTTGGAGCAATTGGAGTCGGATTTACTGATCGCGATTTTTGTAAGCAGACCAAGATGCAATTGAAAGGTCACTCTGCGTCTCGATAGCAACTTTGGAACGTTCCCCTTAGAGGAGGCCATTGAAAATGCCTCCATACCCAGTTCAAACCTACTCTCTCGCTTTCCATGGTGATAACGTTGGAAAGTGCGAAGTGTGGCGATGTTGATGGCCCTATAAGCAGATCAAGAGGTGTAACTCAAAACCTGCGCGCTTGTTCCTCCTTATTGGATAGTTGAGGAAGGGGCCATAAAAAACCACTAGATTGCTCATGTGGTATCCAACAGTTGTCCCAACGTCTCCGCCGATCCTGCTCTTTTTTTAATCTGTCTATTCTTTTACATATCCAGATCGTAATATTTTTCTTCGAGTTTTCTAAATCTCTCCTCCCATACATTGCACTTCTCTTGAGGTAACCTAACGCTTTCTTTGGGGTTGGCTCTTTTTCACCTTGATGATAAAACCTCCAGAGTAGATATATTCAATCATCCTTGTGTTGAGAGGACGTTTTTCTCCTTTGGTCTCGAAAAACGAGCCAACCTTATCTGTTTCCACCTTTGATGAATTGCACCACCGGCAGAGTATTCGTCGAAAAGAGGGTTGGCGGCCTCTGTGTAGTGGGGTTTGCATAGATGCACCTACTGCTTACGTGCTTAATGAAGTTAAGTTAAGTTTGTCCTGTAATTGGAAAGATTTTCTGTTGGACATTTATTAAATATTATTATTATTATTATTATTACTGCTACTAGTTGTGTGCATCCCCTCTTCTTTAAAGATGTCATTAGGGATGCAATTCTAGTCGACTTCATAGTTTTGCAAGCAACTAGGCCATTCTATTTTTTTTTCTTCTGCGCAGCTCTGGAAATGCGCTTTGTTGACGATAGGCGCGACTTGTAAATGGAATGACCCAGTGCTATCAATTGTAGATTTTACCTCCCAAGGGCGGATGACAATGCACAGACTTCTAAGCACCCCAGTTGATGGACTGTTGGTCATTTCAACCTAGTCTCTATGTGAATTCGAAGAAGTGTTGCCTGCCGTTTTAGTTTCCCTTAACTACTAGGAGCCAATAATCTATGATTATACAGTGCCTTTAGTCTGTGCTTAAAAAAAATTAAATTTGTAGCCATCCCCTGATGTTACAGTCTGCCACATCAAGGAACAGCACTGAAGATGCAGACAAATTTCAACAAAATTCCTTCTTGAAAGACTCTATTTATAAAAATATATTACAATTTTGCCTTAACTATAAATTTTACTAATCAACAGCACCAACTTTTGGTAAACATAGGCATTTTAAGCCCTCAAATCATTGTATACAAGCACAACTATAAATTTGATATCACAGATAAAATACTTTAGATCACAATAATACTGAATGAAGTTTGACTTTTTACTTTAATGATTTGCCTTGGTCTTCAAGAAGTTTTAATACTTTTTCTTCAACATTATATAAATGCTGCTCGTCCACTAACGGTGCAATTGCTCTTAGTGACTTTGCTAAATTTAGGAGATATTCAACATTCGTTCCACTGGATCCGACAGCATTTACTATCTGTAAGGCGATGCTGTCTTCGTCAGCCCCACCAGAAAAATTTTCGTGATGTTCCTGTCCTACGTAAACTACACTGTCAAAAGGTGGGTGACCATATAAAGGAAAGAATGTTAAATTCTTGCGGATATATCCTCCCTTCTCTCTGATATCTAAATGATGAATGACTTGATCGATAAAATTATCAGGAACTTTGAAGGCTACTCCCCAGACGCGACTCTACAAAATTTATATTGACTTGACATTAGTGAATGACAATCATTTCTACTTACATGGGCCGAATCAGGAACGATGGTAACTACTCTACCAGGCTGTAAGGAAAGCAAATCTTAGTAAATTATTCAAATTTTGTAGGTATTACATTCTCCCGTGTGCCTCGGTGGTCCATGCTCAGCTGGTAAAATTTTCGAGCGTATCCTTTAATATATCCTACCGTTTTCACCGCGTATGGAAAATCTACCTTCCAAATTATGGAACCGTAGCCAAAAACCCACATGTTTATGTATTTTAAACAATATATTTTTAAATTAAACCAAAGAGAGAATATAACCTACAAAAAATCAAAGTCAAATAACAAAAAGAAAAACAAAAGAAGGCGCATGCGTCTTCGATCATGTCGAAGCGTTGGCTGCATTCAGGTAAACGGAGTTTGGCATTGGACTCATTCGACGACAAAGGGGCCGATTGTTGACAGGAGAACCACTATATTTCTAGGTACTCTACGTTCTCCCCGTGTCGGCGTGTCCTGTTAAGAATTGTGTTAGATGGTAGTGTACCTCTCCGTGCTTTCTCTAGTGCCATTTCTGGACGTCGGGAATCTATCTAATTATCCAGGGCTTCCTACGACCCCATTCTTCCTGTCAGCTGCCTACTTTTGCCCAGGAATTCTGCACCTCCAAGCACCGTTTAACCGCCCAACAGGTCGTCTGGTTCCCACTCAGATGACAGCCTTGAGGAGCCTAGGAAAGCAGTCTTTTCCCTCACTACCTTTAGGTGTGTAGCCAACCACCTCCTTCAACCACTAAAGGTAATGGTTGTTCTCGCACGAGGTGATTAAGGTTTGGTTATTAGTGAGGTTGGGTTAAAGTATACTAGTTGGGTTAGGTGTGAGAGGAGGTGATCAAACATTAGGATAAAGTATGAGTGAGGTTAGGTTAGAGTGCTCGTTAGGTTAGGTCAGAAATCTTGTATCAGGCGAGGAGATTGAACGTTAGGATAAAAGTATCACTCTATTCCCGACTCTTCTGCAGAAGGGCCTGAAGCCGTTGCTCTTACATTTTGTTGTATCTCTTTACAGCCACCCTGGCTTTAGGATATAGCTGGAGAAAGGTAAGAGTTGTGTGACATGGTAGAGAATTACAAGCCGACGGAGAAACTGATGGTAGATGTGTACGTAACAAATGGTGTACTGGGCCTTAGACGACTACATCCATTGTAACATGCTTACAGGGCTGATATGTTCACGGAGCAGACGGGGCAGGCTGGAGAAGGGAATGGACAGAGATGAGCTCATCGATTACTAGAGAATGTCCGCAGGATGGGGCGTTGTCTCCACCGCTGTGATGCCTGGTACTAGACGGGCTCCTCCACACTTTGATCGAGGACGGAGAGTGTACACAGGATTGGTATATTGGCTTTATACTGATAGTGATAAGGCCAATAATACTGTACGGTGCACTTGTATGGTGGCCTAGCCCACCATGCGCAGGGCAACCTACAGGAAGCAGCTAGGAAAGGTTCAGAGACTCGCCTGTGGGAGTCACTGCAGTCGTGAAAACCACGCCAATTTTGGCCATAGAAACAGTTCTGAGACTAGAGCCTTTACACTTAGTTGTGGGACGAGTGGAAGGCTCGAGCCTGCTTTAGGCACGGTTGGAACTGGGAGGAAACCCTCACATCTGATCTCCTCCTCCCAAGAAGGGATGTGATCCGGGCTGTCTTATTAAGACCAAAGAGTTATAAAGTCATTCTCCCGGACAAAGAGCAGTTGCTGAACTCGGATTGCCCGTTCCTCAAACCTGAGGGGCTCGTGTGTTCACAGACGGGCCCCTAACAGAAAGAGGAACGGGCATGGGTATATGGTGATCGACCGAGAGCTGACGTCAGCCTAGCACCGTGTTTCAGGCAGAGATGTTAGCCATCATGAACTGAGCGCAGGAGAACCTCCGTAGAGGTTTCCGTAATAAGCATGCAGTGACAGTCAGGCGGGGGGCCTTGTCAGGAAACATGTGCCGAGCGTCTACGGCGCTTGATTGCAGGCGAATTCTAGATAGATGATGTGAGTTAAATAGGGGCCAGCGCACTGTGGAATGGGGAGCAAACCAAAGGGCAGACGAGCTGGTTCGTGAAGGCAGGTGGGGTAGTCTTCGAGCCCGAGTCTACCCTAGGGATTGCTCCCTCCGTTGTCAGGGCCAAGGTTAAAGATTGGGGGACCAGTCAAATCCAGACTCAGTGGCAACAAGCAAACGGATTCACAGTCCAGGTCTGTTAACAGGGTCCCTTGGCAAATCTAGGTCCTATCCTTTATTGAGAGCAACGGGCTCTGAACCTAGTTGCGAAAGAAAGGAGGTAGGCATAATGGGCCTTTGGTGTGCCTAAGTGCTGCCTTGTCGGGCTGCCCTGTGAATCGATAGATAGACGGAAGAAGCAGAAGAAAATCTTAAAACATATGGTTCTAATTTCGAACTGCAGCCCTTCGCAATTTTCAAAATTCAAGAAGTTTTTTTATTGACCCGCTTTCGTGCTTTTAACGAGTGCGTTCACTAATAAACCACAATTACATTCAATTTGAGTTTGAGTCACTTGCAAAAATTTTCTGTAAACGGCAGCAGTTTCCATAATTATTATTATTAGCCTTGTAGGTTTGCCGCTAAGCCTGCGGCATTTTTGCGTGGTCCACCTGTAATTTAAATTAGTTTATTTTGGAGGCCAAAATGCATACCGTAGCTTAGTGTATACGAAATTTGACGTCTTACGTCCATTTGCGACATATTTTGGTAAATACATACGAGGTCGGTATGGTTTCAGACTATGTGATGCACAATTACTTGAATTTAATCCGAATCCAATATAAAACAAAACTCGGATCCTGGGGTCGCCAGCGATTTATAAAAGGTGCCCGAACGATCAACAGTTAGTAAAACTATACTTAATTTCCGCGTTTCTAGCGGAAATGCGTGAAAATTTTTAGCCTAAGTGGATTTGTTCACTAAATGCAAGAAATATCCTATTACTGCGGAAAATTCATTTATTATGGAACTCAGGAATAAGAAAGCATAACATTTATCAATGTCAGCCTAATTGACGGTTTGTCGATTGACAATTAGAAGCAATAAAAAGGCTTTTCTCGTGGGATATATTATGTCTTCTCTCAAATGTAAGCTTATAGTAATTTTCGCATCATAAGTGCCATTCATTCATAGCATTTATGACGAAAATACTAAAACTATCACCCTAATACTCAAATATGAGGTTAATCCTGATTTATGATGGGGTAGCAAATCCTTGAAGGACACAAGACTAGGAAAATACACAGCGACTTCATATATATTTGCGAACCAGGCTTTACGTTCACTTGACAAGTGCGAAAAATGCTCTCATTTCTCATCTTCACTCATCATCGTAAGGATAACCCATGAGAGAAAAATATATACATTATGGGGTTGCGGTTTATTAAGTCCTTCGGCGCCCTTTCATTACATGCGCCAATGATAAATTGCCCTTTTAATTGTTACGTTACCGAAGTTAACTAATTCACGACCTGTTGGTACGTATTTGTACAATGCACGCGAACGCAACCAGAGGCGGATTGGCCCTAATGGATATTCGAAATTTCCCATAGGAACTGTCTACTACTGCAGCAAAAACGTTTCTATATGCCCCGATAAATTATTAAATTCAATTTAAACTTTGATCTTGGTCAATGTGTTTCATTATTTCATGTTTACACGTCGTATAAAAACTGGACTCAGCACAAAAATAAGTAAAATTTTATGCGAAGCTTTTTATAACTTCATTAATATTTTTGCTATAAAAGTTAAAATAGTACAACGTAATTTGGCGACGAGGGGAATTCACTTTCGAAAACTTGTACACCTTCTCTTTTTACACTAATTCGAGTAATTTAGGTAATTGAAGTTATTGAACTGGGTAGTGGGGTTCCACGGACTAACTACCCCTGCCCACTTATAGGTGTCGGTCTTTGAGGGGTTGTGATATATAGCTTGAAGTAGAAAAGAGAATCAATTCTGCTGAATATTCTCAATAAGGAAAACTGAGACAATCTTATTGTCTTCTTACACGGGATAAGCATGAAGCTTGAGTACGTGCCAACACCTAACTGAAAGGGGTCACGTGAACGGCTTAATGTGCCCCATTTACTGATTTAACATATAAATAAAAAGATATCAAAAAAATTAAAAAAATTCCAACTATTTTTGAGATATGTAAGAACACATACCTACGCACATACAACGGCAACGAAACAGAATGATGGCTAAAGGCTCGCATTCACATAGCCAAACATAATCAGATATTTTAATCATTGGTTTGATACACGCCAAAGGTCATTTTGAAAAATAATATGATTATGACATTTATTTGTCTTAGAATGAAAAACGGTGAAAGTGAGTTGATATAATGATAGTGAAAAAATACTGCAGTTTACAACGAGCAGGCAGACACACTTCATCTAATAACGGGAACATTCCGCTTCCCAATCGTCTGGCAAAACGGCATGCAATCCTTTTACAAAATTGTTAAAAATACACGGCGATTTACAAAACTCCAGTTCCATTTGTTGGGGAACAGTTTCGTAGTTTTCTCCAAAAAAAATCTAAATAAACACAAATGAGAAAAAATGTAGACCACATCATCTCACCTTTATTTCATAGTCACCGTTGGCTTCGTGTAATTCAAAGACCAAATATGCTCCATAATCTGGTTTAAACAATTTTTCAAAGCCCAAAGTTCTCAAAACAGTTATCAAGGTGACATCGTGTCCGGAGAACAAAGCTATATTTAAAGCTGAAGTGCGATCAATTTTTGTTTTCATCTGTGTTATGACTTCTGTCAAAAATGAGCCTCCAGTGAGGCGTTTCATTAGAGTTGTGTCTGAGAAAATGGCGAAATTCATTTCAGCGATCTTTCTTAAGTGATTTAAGGAAATGTTTTTCGTCCATTGTGGCAGTGTCAAATTGTTTTGCAATTCAATTTCCAAGGTGTTATATAGGTATTCCACTGCGTTGATATCTTTTACTGGGTTACCGGTGGCGAGTGTCAAATATTCGTAAAGATCTGCGTTTGCTTCGTTAATTTGTTTTATTTTTGGGGACTGGTACGCATTTTTTAAAGCATCGTCATATACTAGGCACTGCTTTTTCATGGCGATTACCTAAAGTTGGCAAATGTAAACAGTTCATTTGGTATGAGTAGCTTACGTTGTCTAAATGGCGAGGTACGGATTTGACTGGAATGGGTTGCCACAACAAATTTGGGTTCCAAATTTGATCATCTTTCGGCGGAAATAATCCCGCTAAGAAGGTTTGTGCACTCATTATACATCTATCCGCATAACTGCTTCTGACATACACGTTCTCTGCAATGTAATGTTCCGGTAGGAAGGTGCGATATCGTTCTCTTAGAAGTTTGCCCAAATAATACATTTGCGATTTTCCTTTCTAAAAATAAGATAAAATAGGACAAGGTTGAATCTGTACAGAACGAACATTGGTTAGAATTCCCCAACCACCTTTCCAACTTTGGTGTGGGTCATTTGGATATGTTTCGGTAGGTGTGCGATCTCCATGCCTGAAAAGCTGCCTAACTTATTATCAACGGAAACGGAAATCATCACTACTTACTACTTGCACTAATTTTAAAGAACCGGCAGTTTCTCGGCACAGTTGAGAAAGAAGTAGAATTAAAAAAAAATTCCAGATCTTCATGCTATTGACACTAACTGTACACATTTATGACTATAGGTATCGTGTATTAATTATCTTATCGTGGCAATGAACCAGCACTAAGCAGGTCAAAGTTTTTTGATAGTAGTCCAAAAACGTGCATCGACACTATGGAAACTACGAGGCGTGTAAATACCAGGTCTGAATGTCAGGTAACTAAGTTAGTACACTTCACAGTCATCGTTTCGTTATAACCATTCGGAAAAAACTAGTCCCCACGTATCTATTCGTGTGGGAGTTAAGTGATAAAATGCAATGAAACTATTACAATTAACGAATCGACTTGAAGCAACCGGATTAATTTCAATAAGATTGGGTGGGCCCTATTAACATTCCTTCGCTACTTTTTCTCAAAAAGAGCTAATTCCTCTATTGAATGCGAGGTAGGCGCTTTAAATAAATCCCCCATAGCAAAACGGAAATAAACTTTTATTCACCAATAGCCCCCAAGCGTTGGGTACGGCTCCAGTGATACCTTTCAAAGGGCCGGGATACCCTTTCCAAATATGAGCAATAATAATAATTCTCGTTTCTTATACTCTCATATTATCTTCCAATTTGCTCCAATTGCTTTTCGCTAAACCCTCACAAGAAGGCAGAGGCAAAAAAATGCCAGGTAACTAACTCTGTCGGAAATGCCTCTTACGGTGCCTTGGGGAATCGTATTAACCCCAGTACCGGTTGGACACTGGGCAGGCCTCAGACGAACGTTATCCCTGGCAGATTCCCAAACTAGATTGAGTGAATATTTTCCCTCGCTCCCCGAGACAAAGAGAGTAAACGAGGTTATCTATCCCTGGCTCCAGTTAGTAAACTCACTGACAACGTTGTCTATTAGTGTAGGCGATAAAGACATCTAACTGGACATTTTGAGGTGGAAAAGAAAAAAAAATCCCACCCCCCAGACCCTGTGCTAAAGGCTCCAGCCACCCCACCATCCCCCAAAAATCGTGTTTTCGCTCTTTTTTGGTTGATATCTCGCGATCTATGAGGTCTATATGAAATATTTTTAGCTGAAAATATTTCTCGGGAAATTTTATGCAAGGTAGATACGCAGAAGTTAGCCTAGGTGTACCTCTTAGCCTAGGAAATTTATAAAAGGAGGCGAAAATCATCAATTTTCGTGTTTTTTTGCGGTTCATTGCCTTTTTTTGAGCCCCGAAAAAAAAATTGTCTCAGATCGACCCGGAAAAAAAATTTTCTTATGGAATGTGGCCTGTAGAATCCATAATTTCAAACAGTTCCAAGATTGGGCTACTAGTTCAAAAGTTACAGCCCTTTGAATTTTCTTTCGAAATTGGTTTCTAGTCTATAAATTTTGATTGAGAAGTCTAATCGAAAAAGTACGAATTGTTTTGGATTCTACGCACCAAAATTAATAAGAAAAAGTGTTTTCCCGAGAAATTTTGGTGTAGTCGATTTTTTGTAAAAAAGGAAGGTTATACACTGCCTTTTTTTGAGCCCCGAAAAAAAATTGTCTCAGATCGACCCGGAAAAAAAAATTTTCTTATAGAATGTGGCCTGTAGAATCCATAATTTCAAACAGTTCCAAGATTGGGCTACTAGTTCAAAAGTTACAGCCCTTTGAATTTTTTTTCGAAATTGGTTTCTCGTCTATAACTTTTGATTGAGAAGTCTGATCGAAAAAGTACGAATTGATTTGGATTCTACGCACCCAAATTAATAAGAAAAAGTGTTTTTCCGAGAAATTTTGGTGTAGTCGATTTTTGGTAAAAAAGGAAGGTTATACACTGCCTTTTTTTGAGCCCCGAAAAAAAAATTGTCTCAGAACGACCCGGAAAAAAATTTTCTTATAGAATGTGGCCTGTAGAATCCATAATTTCAAACAGTTCCAAGATTGGGCTACTAGTTCAAAGGCTACAGCCCTTTGAATTTTTTTTCAAAATTGGTTTCTAGTCTATAACTTTTGATTGAGAAGTCTGATCGAAAAAGTACGAATTGTTTTGGATTCTACGCACCAAAATTAATAAGAAAAGTGTTTTCCCGAGAAATTTTGGTGCAGTCGATTTTTGGTAAAAAAGGAAGGTTATACACTGCCTTTTTTTGAGCCCGAAAAAAAAATTGTCTCAGATCGACCCGGAAAAAAAATTTTCTTATAGAATGTGGCCTGTAGAATCCATAATTTCAAACAGTTCCAAGATTGGTCTACTAGTTCAAAAGTTACAGCCCTTTGAATTTTTCTTTCGAAATTGGTTTCTAGTCTATAACTTTTGATTGAGAAGTCTGATCGAAAAAGTACGAATTGTTTTGGATTCTACGCACCAAAATTAATAAGAAAAAGTGTTTTCCCGAGAAATTTTGGTGTAGTCGATTTTTGGTAAAAAAGGAAGGTTATACACTGCCTTTTTTTGAGCCCGAAAAAAAAATTGTCTCAGATCGACCCGGAAAAAAAATTTTCTTATACAATGTGGCCTGTAGAATCCATAATTTCAAACAGTTCCAAGATTGGGCTACTAGTTCAAAAGTTACAGCCCTTTGAATTTTTTTTCAAATTGGTTTCTAGTCTATAACTTTTGATTAAGAAGTCTGATCTAAAAAGTACGAATTGATTTGGATAAGTATAAGGGTAATGATTACGTTGAGGTATAAATGAATGTGTGAATATTTTACTATGAAAATACTGTTTTTACGTGAATAAATGGTACATAGAAATACTTTGTTTTACAATGAATATTTCCTCACACATGAAAGTTGAAGGTGAATGGTGACTTTACGCCAACTCTTCAGTTACCTATCTCGTATGAAATTGCACGAAGAGCATTTTCAGTTAAAAATATTTCATCTAGCCCTAAAGGTCGCGATATTTTTGCAAAAAGCCACGAAAATTGATGATTTTCGCCGCTTTTATGAATTTCCTAGGCTAAGGGGTACACCTAGGCTAACTTCTGAGTATCTACCTTGTATGAAATTTCCCGAGAAATATTTTCAGCTAAAAATATTTCATGTAGACCTCATAGATCGCGAGATATCAGCCAAAAAGAGCGAAAACACGGTTTTGGGGGATGGTGGGGTGGCTGGAGACTTTAGCACAGGGTCTGGAGGGTGGGATTTTTAATATGTTGTTTTTGACACCTAACTGAACATATTCCACCATTTTTTTCTTTTCCACCTCAAAATGTCCAGTTTGCCAATTTTACAGTCTCTATCGCCTAGACCAGGGTTTCTCAAACTTAATTGTTCCACGTACCCCTATTAGACTGTCAAGCCCACGGCGAACCCCTTTAAAAAATACAGACTACAGGTAGGCATTTTATTAAAAAAATCATGTTTTAAATTTGGGAAAACAAATAAGGTATTTTCTTAAAAAAAAACAAAAGAACTATTTTTAATAAAAAATAAAATAATTTAAAAAATAACATAAGTAACTACTAAAAGGTTTATTTTTCTTTCGGCCTTAGGTGGTGTTGAAGTGAAGGTTTGTAGGGTGAGTAGGTTCAAAAAAATTTGAGCCTACTCACCCTACAACCCTTCACTTCAATAAGTAGCTACCTTATACCTACTGAAATTAATGTGGTGGGTGGGCTTGTTTTTTTTCGCAAATGGAGTCGATTCTCGGAGCAATTTTGCTCAATTTTTTAGTCTTGATTGATATTCGGCGTTCAGTCGATTCCTATACGTCTTTAACATGACCAGGTGTGAAACCCCACTCTCACATAAATAAGTGCGACTTTGCCCGTGCGCCGTCACGCTTGTTGTAAGCTGCCACCATTACGTAAATTTTTTCGCGTACCCCCTATCATTCAATGGCGTACCCCCAGTGGTACGCGTACCCCACTTTGAGAAACGGTGGCCTAGACTATATGGTAAAATATAGGAATATATTTTCATATATTTTAATAACTTCTAAAACTAAAATTTCAAATTGTTAACAACTAAAATAATTCAAAAAAAGAAAGATAAAAACAGAAAAATGCAAAATTGGATAAACGGACAAACAAAAACCGAAATCATTACAATAAATGAAACCTCGGCCTGCACACTCAACCTCGGTTCACCAATCACCGGACAACCGAAGTCGTCAGAATAAAACCGAAATGAAACGTCGGATAAAGTCAATTCATCGGTACATTACAATCGAAAACGGGGTGCAAAAAGCTTTTGATTAGCGGACTTCTACCGCATGCAGTGGACATCTGATGCAGTGGAAATATTCTTTTTCCGTTTCCACACAGGGATGGACTATAAACCAACATATGAAATTTATTATTTACGTTATAAGAAAAATGAGACAACGTTAAACCTAAGGAAATTATCTCTAAACTATGAGCTGAACTAACAACTAAATAAAGTGGTAGTAGACAAAATCTTAAAATTCTACAAGACCGTATCGAGAACTAATGTTACCGTATTATATATGAATTAAACAAATTAAGCTTTGAGAATAACATTTGGAATCTAATATAAGAAACTACCTCAGGACCCAGGTAGCATTGTTTTATGTTCCAGTAACAAATATTAAAAACATAGAGGAAATGAGCAAAGCTATCTCCTTGCACCAAAGTAGGTATGTCCACCGACAAAGCAAAGAGTTTCCGATATCGAAATAGCGGTAGCGATCTGCTAAAAATGGATTTTGGAAGGTACTAAGTGCGACGTTAGGTTAGAGGAGGTTGTTTAGCATAGCCAAAGCAATGAACACCTTACTCATGTAAATCAAATGATGAACGAAAATGGCGAGAACCCAGGGGAGCTTTCAACAAAGAGGCCAAAAAGTTGCCTAAGGTGCCTAAGGACTGAAGTAAAATTCGTGAACGGAGCATGTAAAGTTGCCTAATCTAGATGGCGAAATACAGGCGATTTATATTAAAGAAAAGACCAAATTTATTACAATCCATTAGCATTACCTATAGTGGCTATAGTGCCTTGAGTGGAATTTAATTCGCACTTACCTAAATAGCAATATTCAATTCTGGGGGTTGTAAGTTTTGTTGTATATCAAAAATGCGTGTTTCTTTCGTAAATTATATCTAAAAGTCTTTAGTAAAGACCTATAAGTAATCTTTAAGAGAATCTTGCGTATATAGCAATTTTCAACTCCGGGGGTTGTAATTTTTGTTGTACACCAAAAATGTTTGTATATTTGGTAAATTTTCTTTAAAGGCCGTACAAGTAACCCTACAATTGGTACCTAACAATAAGATTCCTGGCTGTTTTAAAATTTCGTAATTTTTAAGAAAATTCGCACTTGCAGTCTTTAAGTCCGGGGTTTGTAATTTTTATTGTACATCAAGAATGTATGTTTATTTGGTAAATTATGTTCAAAAGGCCTACAAGTAACCCTACAATTGCTACCTAAGGTTTCTTGCTGTTTTAAAATTTCGTAATTTTTAAGCAAATTCGCTCTTACCTAGCAAGCAATATTCAAGTACGGGGGTTGTAATCTTTGTTGTACATCAAAACTGCTTGTATATTTGGTTAATTATGTGTAAAGGGCCTACAAATAAACCTATAATTGCTACCTAAAGATAACGTTTCTACTCTTTCTAAAATTTCGTAATTTTCAAGAAAACTGGCTCTAATTTAGATAGCAATATTCCAGTGCGAGGGTTGTAATGTTTGTTGCACATAAAAAATGTTTGTTTCTTTGGTAAATTATGTTTGAAGGACACATCTGTAACTGTAAAATGGCTACCTACATGTAAGATTCCTTCCTGTTTTAAAATATTATAGTTTCTAAGAAAATTCGCGCCCACCTGTATAGCAATATCCAATTCCGGGGGTTGTAATTTTTTATGTGCACCAAAAATGCTTATATATTTGGTAAATTTTGTTTAAAGGGCTTACAAGTAACTCTACAATTGGTACCTAACAATAAGATTCCTTGCTGTTTTAAAATTTCGTAATTTTTAAGCAAATTCGCTCTTACCTAGCAAGCAATATTCAAGTACGGGGGTTACTTAAAAATAAGGTTCATTCATTCCCGTTTTAAAACTTAAAAAATAGCAATATTCAATTCTGTGGGTTGTAGTTTTTGTTGTTGTTTCTTTGGTAAATTATGTTTAGAAGTCCTGCAAGTAACACTGCAATTGCTACGTTAAAAAAAAGTTCCTTTCCGTGTTGAAATTTCGTAATTATTAAGAAAATTCGCTCTTTGCCTATGTAGCAATATTCATATCCGGGGTTGTTATTTTGATACGCGTTTCTTTAGTAAATTATGTTTAAAGGGCTGAGCCTTGGTCGTCCAATATATCGCTTTGATTGTTGAGTTGTTTTTTATGCTGTTGATGATTCTTGTAAAGCGGTTTTTTAGTTTGCCGTGTTGTAACGGTAGAGGTCTTGCATGTCCGTAAGGAGTTGTATAGTTTCTGAAGGATTTCTTGACTGTACAGTTTCCCTAAGAAAGTTTCTGAAACTTGTTTATTCAAATATATGGAGTGTGGAATTTTTTGATAGTTCAATCCTTACTGGCTCGAGCATGTCATCTAGGGTTGGCGTTTCTATTTTGTCGGTTTTGTTTTGTTCTGTTTGTGGGTTTTTTAAAATTCGGCTATTGATATCTCCGTTTTGTTAGGTTCAATTATATCTGGAGGAATGCATGTGTGCGTTTTTTTATTAACTTCTGTCGTTCTGTCGTTGTTTCGGATATTTCTGTTGCTCCGTTGTTTTGCTAAGTTGGTCCTTCTTGGTATTGGAGATCTCTGTCAGTAGTTATCAGTCAGTGTGTAGGTATTTATCAGTGTAATCAAAAATAATCGGAGCATCTCAGTTGCTGACAAGTTCATTTGGTATAATAATTTATAATAATTTCCAATTTGTTTTGTAATACTTTAAAGCAATTTAATTTCCAGACAAATTATAGATTTTTCACAACCACACCTTCGCCTAGCCTTGCTTTTTATATTTGACACCTGGTCTACAAAAACAATTCACAGTTCTGAGTTTGTTTATGGCGTTTTATTTATACCAGATATAGGTATTCCATAAAATGTGAACGAAAAAATCAGAAACAATTGGTGGACAAAAAGAAACCTTTTTCTGTTTTCTCATGCTTTATGCGGAAGTGATCAGATGTGTTTGGGATACTAGAAAAAGATGATAGTTTGTACCGAAAGGAAGTTTCGAGACTTCCATAACTAATTTCATCGCAAAGGTACAGTAAAATACGTGTTCCTCAAGTTATACGATTTCTCAGTTTTCCATTCCCTCGCAATAATTCATGGGGCCAATTCACAAATTCGCCCGCCTGATTAAAATACCAATACAAAAATTCAGTTGTAGCTTTTGAAGGTGAAGCGAGATATAAAAGTAAAGGCGTGCCATGTAATTCGCAAATTTGCAATTCAAAAATAATTTAATACACTAATACTATTGATATGTAGAAGTTCAGTTTTTATGTAAATCCGTTTTTGGGAGGTAGGTAATCGATCTCTTCTTTGTCTTTCGTCTTAGTGGGGATCTAAAGAAAAACACTGCATATAAATATCAAACCAGTTATCTTCCTGATTATACGTATTTGTTTCCGAAAGAAATACTAACTATGGAGGTATTTAGCTTTAACAATTTTAATCAAATTTGCCTAAAAACTATGTTTATAGATACGTATAGTTGTTTTTCTCATGGCGGCCGGCCTCGCGTATGGCAGTGTGATTTATAGTTCCAATTTAAATAGTGCGCTCGTTAATTTTAAACAACTTGGTGGTAACTTTGCGTACAGCAGTTTTGAATTTCCAACGTATTTGGGCCCAACAGTTCTTCGTCAAGTAATCGGGCAATACCCATTTTATCCTCCTCAGCAAGTTTTATACCCCGGCTATCCGATCTTTACTTATCCCGGTCTTCCTATTCAAGGTCCCGTGTCTCCTCCTTTTATAACACAACAAAAACCACCCTCTTCGGGATCGCCATCACAAGTCATCATTGATGAAGATACTGTCGCAATTGATTCTGCGTAGAGTGTTTATGGATCATTTGTAAACCCAATGCTTTTAAATAAAGTGAGTTAACTTTATTTGATATTGTTCTCTTTCCCAAAATCCAAACTCATGAAAAAGTATTCAGCACAGCACAAAACTTTTTAAACTAACATTTATCAATGTATCAGCCGAATAAAATCGAATTATGTCAGAAATTTAGGCATCATCATAGATGGCGTTTATTAATCAAGGTTTATCATATTTCATAATTATTCGGTTAAAAGGTCGTCGACAATTATATTACGTGGTGGATGCTGTGAAAATGCATCGATTAATTATTGCGTTTGTATTACTTGTGTCGTGTACTTGTTATATAAACACAAAGAAGCCCCTCAATAACACTAGATTGAAGGTGAGCCGCAGTCTGCAAAATTCTTCAAGTAGGTATGTTTTAAAAAACGCAATGTACATAATTAATTTTTTTAGTTTCTTTGAAAATCGTGGATAAACAGCATCATTTATTTATAGGGCGATGTATCCCTTTGGATGATGTATTACATAGCGAGAACTTAATTTTAAATAATGACGGAAAAAGTCAAGTCAATGCTACTATCCGAGTAAATAATTTATGAGGTTTTGTTGGAACGTTTTTGTAAGAATGATGTTATTTTTAGATGAGCGTTGAAGGGTCTGTTTATATAACTTGCGTAAAAGTCTTAGACCAAGTTTCTGACGGTGAGGGTGCTTATCCGAGTTTTGTAGGCGGCGGAGTTGGCCATAATTATGTCATATTTAATGTAACAGCCGCTTATGGGAGAGGTTTCAATTTTTATGTCGAAATTAAAGGATATTCCTTAGACGAAAATGATGGTGATGTTTGAATATTTATTATTAATCATAATAAAGTAGATAATATCAATAAATATAAAAGTATAGACATCATTTCAATTACTTGCCTCTAATTATTGCTTGAGATTCTTATCTCAGCTATCAGCTTTGTCCCAGACTCGTAGAACATTGCGTTTAGTTATGAATTGCGTGGTTTTTCTTTGCCTGGCAATGGAGGCGGTGGCACGTCAGGTATTTCGGGATTTTTTTTTATGTTTGTGGGATATGGTATCTCAACCTTTTTCTCGGTGTTACCGTTGTTAATGTGTCCTAAGTCTCCAAAAATAGGTTGCTGGTAGTATGGCAAAGCCGGAAACAGCAGCTCAGAGCTGTAAGAATATGGAAAGTATGAATCTATCGCAAGAGGATACAATGAGCCATGATACGTCAACTGAGGGATTGAGGGTTTCTTATCTCCTCGCTTATCCTCGATTGTTTCAGTTTCATTTCTACGAGGTTCGCTCTTCGTATCCTTCTGTAAATAAACGTCAAATTAGAGGTGGCCAGTAAAATGAGCTTAAACCTGATCGGTTTCGGAAGTCGTCTGAAGTAATACGTTGTGAGGAGGATGTACGTATATTGGCGGAAAAGCGACTCCTAGAGCAGTCGTCCTTAAAACTGGTTCCACGACAGGAATTGCATGGCTAGGGGATAGATTTTCATCCGACGATATTAGCGCATTATAGATTTTAGGAACTCGAACCACTCCAGCAATGGATACTGTCACGAACGATGCAAATACAAGTAGTCTGTACATGTTTGCTGAAAATCAATAGGTCACATTATTTATTGAAAACCAAGAAATGTAACATTTTAAGTGCCCCTGTTGCATTTTGGGATTTGTATTTGATAGTTCGATGTACGAAAACTTTTCTAAATTATAAAAATTTACTATATCGGCGTTAGTTAAACAGTCTTAGCGAAGTCGATCAATCTTGAACTTTTACAAGGTTTTTATGTAAGCGTTGCAAACAGCTCACCAGAGTTTGTGAACATCTTGTCTCTATTTACAGAGAATGTGTTTGTTGCACTACAGTTGAAATTAAATGTGGTAGGTAACATTAAATAACTACTTATGGTCAAGAGCATATCGTGTACTTAATTATTTGTATAAATCTGAATAAGAAGGTTAAATCACCCAAACTGAAGGTTTCTTAAGAATCGAAGTTAATTACAAACGTAATTTATGCATAATTAATACATTAAACAAACCAGGTTTACATTCTTGACAAAAAGTGAGGGTGACCTTAAAGATTAATTAGCTGGGCAAGAATTCAAATTAGGTTATATGCAATCTACGTACGCTAGTACATGTATATTTAGAATTACGGTTGTTGTCCTGCGGTGGACAAGACGGTTAAAAAAGGACACAATTATGGGACGTACCGAAAGAATATCTACAATTTAACATCGATATTGGTTAATTAAACGTAAATCCTTGGCCCCTTCTCAATATCATTACTTTTACTAGATGTTACCACAAGGTAAAGTCTGACATTAACGAAATGGCTAAGGTTCCATCAAAACAAACAAAATATACGAAATTAAAAATTTGGCGACACATAAATAAGGGAACAATTTTGTACTTTCCTTTTCCAAAATGCTAGCGCAACCTCAACAAACTATTGCACAATTATAGGTAACCACGCACTTGGAGCACTTAAAACATTCTGCTTTAAGATGTACAAACTTCCGGTAATATAAATAGGAAGGATCTCAAAATATGTAAATAAATCATACCTTGAGTAAAGCTATTCATGCCACTACTACAAGCAAATGCCTTCGCAAATACGCCAAGCCTTTATATAGCTGTTATCCTCCAGTACATTTATTCACTTCTGCTACCTACCAAGATATATTTTTATGGTTACTTCCCTTCACTGGTCGTACCTCAATGCGATTCCTTCAACTACACTTATTCGTTTTTCAATATTTAAACTAGTTTTGAACACGATTGTGCAAAAGAAACACGATTCATTTGAAAATGATAAGGTTTCGTTGGCCGATGTTCCTCTCAGTACGTTGCATGGCAAGATATGTATCTATCTCATCTGCATTTTAAATGTTCTTTATTTGTTGCACATTTTTACTTAAAACTACGTTAGAACAACTGCGAAAACCTGCTGCATACATAATTTATACAAACATCGTGCATGTTTCTGCAGTCAGATTCTATGTATGCATTTATTTATTACCTAGACCTAGACGCTTACACTACCTTGGCAGTTGGCTAACATTAATAACTCGTTCATTCCATCCGTATATGCACTTTAGTAATTGTTGAAAAGGCATTATGCGAATTTAGAAGAGCGGAAGACACTTTAACAATTAAGTAATGCACTTCACCTATTCTCGCGAGTATTGCTGAGCTATGAAATCAACGTTGAGATTGTATATATTAAGGAGAGGAATGTGAGCATAGTAAAAACAAACACTGCTGAAATTGTGAAATTTATGTCATACCTCATACTCTGTATCTCGCTAGTCTCTTAAGTGGTTTTTATCATTAGGCAAGATTCATTACGTAAATCTACGTGCACCTTTACTATTTCTATAGAAATTGTTTAAACTGTGTAACATATTTAATTAACTAATGGAACTGTTCTCAATATGTCGGATTGAGTTGATCACAGTTGTCCAGTCTGTTCCTATTCTTACAACGAGACTTCAACAACTCATGGGTAAGTATAAAGCACCGCATATAAAAATCCCAGGGGAAATTTCTTAGTGGGTTGTTGCGTCACTAGAAACAGAAAAATGCTTCTTGTCAGGCTAACATATTACATAATGCGTCAATTCCAGCAATTTTATTCAGGGCTTCAGCCAAGGTTCTACCAACCCAACTCACTATACAAATACTGGTCCAAGTGAAATTTGACGTCTTGATTTGAGGTGAAGGTCTTCCCGTCCAAAAAATTTTGCAGAGACCGGAACAAGTAGTAGTCTGAAGGTGCCAAATCTGGAGAATATGGTGGGTGTGGTAGTACATCCCATTCAAGCTGTAAAAGCTTTTGGCGGGTTACCAAACTTGTGTGAGGTCTCGCACTATCGTGGTGGAACACTACACGTTTTCTATTGACCAATTCTGGCCTTTTCTGTTTAAGTGAATCGTTCAATTTGTCCGGTTGACCACAGTACACTTCAGAATTAATCGTGGTATTGTCCGGTAGAAGCTAAAAAAAAACTATCCCTTTGAAATCCCACCAAACAGATAGCATAACCTTTTTTTGGTGAATATCGGCCTTCGCAGTGGTTTGAGCTGGTTCACCTTTTTTACTCCATGATCTCTTCCGCTTAACATTTTTGTAAACAACCCATTTCTCGTCGCCAGTAATGATACGCTTCAAAAATGGATCATTTTCGTGACGTTTGAGAAGCAAATCACAGTCGTTAATGCCCCGAAGCAAATTTCGTTCTGTAAGAACGTGGAACCCATATGTTAAGTTTTGAAATAAAACCAAGACGTTTCACGTGATGATGAACGGTCGAATTCGATAAATGTAACCTCTCAGCAATCTCACGAGTGGTTATTTGACGGTTTGCATCTACCAATGCCTTTATTTCGTCTCCATCGGCTTCAACGGGTCTTCCAGAACGTGGTGCATCTTCAAGATCGAAATTGCCGGAACGAAATTTTGCAAACCAATTTTGGCATTGTCGTTCAGTCAGTACATCTTCTCCATACACATCGCATAATTTCCGCCTTGCCTGAACTGCATTTTTACCTTTTCGATAGTAAAAGAGTAAAATATGCCGAAAATGCTGATTTTGATTTTCCATCTTTGATAGGGCACCAAACAAAAACTATTGCAAAGAATCAAACAAAACTTTTACCATACAAGCATTACTATGTCAGCTGTCAAAATTTTAATGTTTATGCGGCTTAAGTGTAAAGTTGGCTGTGAAACAATACAATTAGGTTCTCTGTTGAAGAAAAACGAAATGACTTTCCGAACAACCTGATACAAATATTCATGCCCGAACCCGAACCGCGATTTGAACCAGGAACCCTTAGTGCCGCAGTCGAGCTTCAGCACCACTACGCCACACACGTTCTGGGGAAGAAGGTAAGGCATATGTCACCCTAGTGTAACGTGGAAGCCAAGCGCCTCGGTGGGAGATAAGGTAACATTTGTTTTTTTGTGTAATTAAACGATATGCTATTTGATAAAACTGGTGATACCATTGTATGTGGCTGGGATATCAAAAGTACGCTGGTTTCTTTGAATCCACCAGAATTCGATTTAGGGAGTTCGTCGATAGTAGGGTACAGCGGTTTTAAAGTGAAAGTAATTTTGTATCTATAAAATTATTAAGCTAAACACCCATAATTTTCTATTGTTTTTAAAAAAAATAAAAGCCACCTTAGATAACGATAAATAATAACAATTTATTAGCGCTAGTAACAATTAAGTTTTACGCAATGTATACAAGGTATGAATACAAGTGTTTAAAAAGGACAGTCAACCCTATGCTTTAAAAAGTTGTTTATGTTATAAAATACCGAGCTTATGGGCTGTACGTTAAATATTTTGTTTTCATTGTTTGATTTTCTTTACAGGGCATACAATTCACCCATTAAAGGCACACACAAGTATAGTCACTGTCCTTTTCAAAATTACATTTTTGTAAAGAAAGCTCATTTTGCATAATAATCCGATTATTGTGAGGGTTGTAATTTTTGTGGCACTCCAAATTTGTTTATTTCCTTGTTTTATGTTGTATGCAACTTTCAAAAGCCAGCCTTTAAATTCACAGAAAAGCATAGCCGTTATCCATTAAAAAAATTACGATCTTTTTGTGAAAGCTCACTTTTACATAGTGATTCGTTCATTGTAGTGCTGCAATTTTGGTAGCACTTCAAATATTTTAGATTCTTTGTTTGATTTTGTTTAAAGGGCTTACTAGAAGCTTAAAATGAGGCTTTTGGGCTGGCTTAAATGCAATTTAGCGGGAGGGGGATGTAGGCGGTGGCGGTTGTACCATTGGCTGTGGCAGCGGCACCCACAAATTTGATGATTAGAACATGATGAAGTGAAGGACGTAAATAGGCGAGGGATTTGAAAGCTGGAGAGCAACGGCAACTCCTGTTGATACCTTGACCGTGCGTTCACAATCCCAACAGCCACAAGTTTTGAATTAAACATTTACAAAAAAAAAGTGATTGGCGCTATAAAGCCTAACGGGTCGTAAATGCGGACCAGTTCTGCAAAAAGAATGCGTTTGATGCAAGCACGGTCATTCAGGGAATTGATCTGAAAGAAAAACCAATCGCGCAGCGGAGCCCAATGAAATCCTAACACTTTAATGGTATCGTTAGGCGGATTAGATCCAAATTCTAGGGGTCGGCGCGAGGATTTTGTTGAGGAACAGAACGTCAACAGCGTCTGGTCATTGCTGGACCACCTGTGTAACTTAAATCCGCCTCGTTGCAATAAGGAGATTAATTCGTCTATCGTGTTTTGGGCCTCTAAGAAACTGGGACAAGAAATAACGAAGTCATTCTGTCTACATTTGTATTTAAAAGTTGATGACGCTTACAGAGATCAGGACAAAATTTTAAAAAAAGGCCCTGACAAAGCATCCGTATTAAAAATAAAAATGGACAGGTTTCTTAAAGTTGCTAGTTTACGAAATAATGAATTTCCAAAATGTTTGCATAATCGGGTTCGATCAATCGATCTAATTTTTTTGGATGATGTCGCACTCTGCTATTTTGCGTACCGATCGATAATTCTGTACGTTGGGTTTCCGTTATCATACATCCGTTAATATCGAGCGTACGAAGTCGCGGGGGGGGGGGGGGGGAAATCTAATTTATATATGTTTTACATGCGACGCGAAAGCCTCGTACTCCTGTTGATATAATGTATGAATTCCTTTTGTAATGAGTTGTTATAAATACGTAAATCTACCAATTTTCAAATTCTGAATACAGATGCGTACTCTCAGGACGGCTAGTATGAAATATTTATACTCCTACGCACGTATGAACGGCGTTAGGTACATTCTCCTTCTGAATATATCATAAAGCTTTAACATTTAAAACCAACCTATAAAATCGGTATGGATTAAAAGACTATGGATAAATGATTCACACTTGCAGCACTTCAGTATTTGCAAGTTCATAGTGTAGCAAACAATAACAGCGAGAATAGCGGTTGAATTAGAGGAATCAGTAGGTATTGAAATAATACGAGTAGATTTATTACCAACAAAGATAATAAAAATAATGATCATGTGTCCATTACTTGTTGCTCTTACTTACTAGCAATAATTCGAGCAACATACCTTATGGAGACACTTTGTGGCCGGTGCAAACTTTAACAAAACGTACGCGTTTCTACAGAAAAAGCTATCATCGGCGAAAAACTAAAGATAAAAGATTTGAATCAATTTCAATACAAAAGTGTAACAGAACCGAGGTATTTCAACAATTGAATAGTACAGGGGGAACCAAAACAATCATTCGTTGCATATAAGTCGTGACCTGAAAAGTTCCAAAATTGTCACAGAACGGACCTAACAGCTTTACATATATTTCCTAATGATGTCCTTGCCGAC